TGCACTTCGGGCTTGCAGGGAATAGTAAACTATTACTATTCTATACAATTTTGCTGGGGCAGCTGGGCTCGGTTAATAGGGAGAGTTTTTTTGGCAAGAAAACATACTAGGGGGATGTCAATGTGGACATTTAGTTTTTAACTTAGTTTAGTTTAGTATTGGGGGCTCGAGCTGGGCTTAATTATTAAGGGAAGGTTCCTGAATCCTGTGTGCCCATTAATCTGATATCTGAAACATTTGAGACCTCAACATGCTGTGAATCATGAGGCATTTCTTTCTTCAAAGAACAGCTCGTATATAAATGGTGTAATTGCTGCAAGGTGGTTCAAGTTCTTACACATTGCTTGATGGCCCATGGAAAATGTTCATGCGCCTGCAATGACCAACCACTTACAGTATATATGTTCTTTCGGGCACAGCGGGCACAAGTTCAGCTCAGCCAAGCTCGGCTCTGGTGGGCTGAGCTATGGTGAGCTGCTCAACGTTTTGTTCTCAGTGATCGTGCCAACGTTAGCTAGTGTGCTAGCACTGAAAATGGTTTGGACTTACGACGACGTAGGATTTTCAATCACCCGTTTTGTGCGTCTATGGTTGTGTTTAATCAGTGTAATCATTGTTTCTTGGATTCCTTTCCCAAGGTGCATCAGTAAATCCAAGAATGCCTAAGAACTTCAGCATATATCCCTAGAGTATGCCACCATAAAATGGTGATCCTTTCCTTTACACAATGCCGTTTCCAGGCCCCATGTACAAACGACAAAGTAAGCATGCTCAAGCATTCAGGGTTGGATTATTATTTTCTAAAACAACATGATGGTTGTGCTTGGTGATATGGACAATTTCATGTTAGCTAAGATGGAAGCCCGAGACCATCAGTTAAAAAAAAAAAAACAGAGTGGCCTTGTGCTGAGATCGTCGACAAACAAAAGGAACCCTTACAGTATATGTAAAATGCTTGTTTGCTTAGACGTTTGCCAGTTTCAGCCGTCGATCCAACCCCTGCTGGAAAAAATGCACAAACAAAAAGCCAAGGGCCCCACCACCCCTTAACGAGCCCAGTAGTCAAACCAGCACCCCCCCCAGCACCAGTCATCCACCAGGAAAACTTCGATGCGTGTTTGCTTAAACCTTTGGCGGTGCCAGCTCTGGATTCAACAAACAGCATTTTATAGAGGCACCCTCGGGGAGAACCATCCAGAAAGCCAAAACCACGTCCGACAGCGCTGTTTGTGGTATGTTGAGGGAACCTGCACCTCTCATTTGATAGAAGACGCTCATGTTGAATAAATTGTGCAGAAACATATGCCTCTAGGATAGCATCATTTTATACACAGATTGTGTTTAGTTTTTTTTTTTTTTTAAGTGGTTGCATCCTTTTCCTACCATTCTATGCAGGTATGTTGATCCTCACACCTGCAATCAACCCTTGAGCTCTCTCTCTCTCTCACACTTGTGTACCTTCCTTGCACCAAGGGCCCTCAGATTTGCAACTGTTCAGAAGAGTTGGGGACCCAAAAGCCACACGTCAGACAAGGCGACTGAGACGACAGCTGACTCATCACGAGCCACTAGAGTCAGCTGAACCTCCCCCCTGGCACCCACCGCTTGCTGGATTTCCAGGGAATACAAGTCGCAACACTTCACAACAATCTTAGAAGACTATATAGCTCTACTTGCAGCGCCCCAAGCTGCAACCTGCACCCCACGACGTGCCTACTCTTACACCGGCACCGCCGGAAAGCTCGCGATCTAGCGACCCCCCCACATCCGCTCCGCCCCCCCCGCGCCACCGGTGGCGCCGGTGCCAGGATTTGACGTATCACATCCACGACTGCGTTTGGACCATGCCTGAGGCCCTGCGAGACGACCCCGCGGTGCGTCGGACTGACATGCCACGCGGCCGCCGCGGCTGTCATGTAGACTCTTGATTCAACAAGCCCCGCAGAATGACGAGGTTTTTTCAAGTGGGAGAGGGTGATGAATCAAGAGTCTACATTTACTGAAACATGTCATGGATCATGGGTGATTCCTGATTCCACTTCGGGCTTTGAAACATGCCATTCATGCATATTGATGCTTTGTTCGGGTCATTCATGAACATAATGAAGATTGACGCAGGTTCTTGAGGCATCTTGCTACGATGGGTTCCGGGGAAGGACCAACCGTGCACCATCCTGCACCCGCTCATTTTCCCCAGACCTGAAGAGGCATAAGAGGCCTTACAATCCATGTTTGGGGTCTTATCAATTAACCCTATGAATCCACATACCCTGTGAGAAGGTGATCTTGCATGTAGGAGGGTCCAAAGACATTTCCAAGGAGTTACTTGGATCCCCAGAGTACCCTAGGCATCCTGGCCCACGATTATATATGTTAAATAGCCTGAATGCCGAACCACCATGGCCCCAGACTAAGGTTTTACACAACACGACCAGGTCGTTCCCATTTGAATGGCCAAACGGGTCTCCAAACGGGTCTCCGGATGTACGATGGATGTCCGATGGATCGATCGAAGGTGAGGCGGTGAGGCGGTGAGCTCGCATGGACTGGTGACCAGCCATGTCATGGGTCATGTTTATAGGGGTAACATATGAAACTATTCAAGGCACATGGATGGTCTGGGGTAGTTCATGATTCAGCTTCCCGAATCTTTGCTGTCCCGGGTCACCAGACTCACTAAGGAAGGCCAGGTGTTATCTGGAATTCTGGTCGAACTGGACAAGGGGTACAGCTATCCGAATGTTACTTCAACTGACCTTCACCCCATAGGTTTGGAGTTGCTTGGCTCGGGTTGGCATACTAGGCTTCAATGATTCGATGGCTCCTGCGTCACGAAACGAATGAGAGAGGGCCTTGGCTTGGGAATTCGTTGGGTCATGACACCTTGTTTGTTTCTCAGGTGATTTCTGAAAGCTCGGTGGGGTTCACCCTCCCCCCATTGGTGATCCCCCATGGCAGCAGTCATCCGCGTTTCGATCCACATGGCCATCGCCCGGCCCCCTGGGTTCTGTCGAAGCTCCGATGGTTTGTGAGGTTGATCAATAAAAAACAGACACATTTGGATCGAACAACGCACCCCATTTGGATCCATTTGGATCGAACACGCCCCGTTTGGATCGAACACACCCCATTTGGATCGAACAACCACTTCCTATCGGGGGGTCTTTGAGTTATTTATCAAGTCTACATTGGTCTACGTTATTGGTTTCAGCAAGGGGTGAGCACTAAAACTAGTGTATATTGCAGTCCACGAATGGTACAACCCTTAGCTGGCGATTGGGCACTGGCGACGAACTGTTTTTGAGGAAAACGTCCTGAGACCATGCAGAGTCAACAACCCGCATGGCACAGGTCAAAAACAACATGTCTCACACTGAGCCAGCTACCAGCTACCAGGTTCAACGCGTACCAGCTACCTCCTGGCAGTGAGACAGCGCCGGCCTCTTCCAGAGAGCAGCTGCGAAGCTTCTTGGGGTTCACTTCTGTGTCATGTGCGCCTCATGCCACATTTGGAATCAATTAGAACATTAATTAGTAACATGCAAGGTATCAGCATTAAATAGATATATAATGATATATTTATATATATAATCGTGAGATTTGGTCTTAAAATTAATATTACACATGTCTCATAACTTGCCAAGGCAGATGTGAAGGTGTGCTTCCAGTGTATAGGCCCTGGTATAGTTACCAAAATGACACTGCTCAAATTTCATTTGCCCCCAATAGAAAGCCCGAAGCCTGCTTCTCATGCAGGAAACTCCAGGCTCAAGAGATGGACTTCCAAGGGCCACCGGCCAATGCGAAGGAGATTTTGCCATTTCAAGGCAGTGTTCAGCTACGTTGGACGTTGCCTGATAGAGCTCTTTAGTGTGCTACCAAAATCCTTGAGGTAGCCTCGTCTTGGCTGTGTTTATTTGAGCCGCTTGCCCCCGGGATCACAGCCAAGTTTGAGGGGAAAATGCGCGTCAGGTCTGCCACAACGAAATCAGAGGCTTTCACAACCAAAAACTTCCGGATAGCTTCACGGCAACGCATAGTCTTTCAACACGTACCTGGAACTTCCCGTCGTGTTTCTTGCTTGGGACATTTGCAGTGTCAAAACACTATATATATATATATTTGGGAGTCATTGCATTTGAGTTTGAAGATGTTTCTTTAGTTTTCTGATGATTGACAAGCTACAGGCATTTATTGGCGAGCCACGTGCGTTTTACCTGAATGCGCTTTTTCAGCAGATGTTCATTTTGGTTGCAGATGTTTGTGTGGTTCACAGGCCTGGATCAAGGTAAGTTGAACTGTCGACCAAAGAACAACCACCAGGTTGCAGATGTATACCTACCTGACCTAGTCAGTGGACAACATTTTTGTTGGGGGGATTAGTGTCTCACAAAACAATCAAGCTAAATTAGCTTCCAGCGAAACAGCCCGGGGTCAGTTATACAATAGGACCCCCGGCAGGTGCCTCTCACCGTCGGGGCCCGAAACCAGCAACGCCAGAGTTTTTGTTCTAGCCGCTGCCGCTGCCTGTTCGAAATGCAAAGAAGTCAAGCAAGTCACACGTCAACCCATCATCCTTGAGCCAAGTATAGATGATAAGTGTCAATTGTGTCACGATCAATTGAGCTGTAAGGATTTGTCAAAGAACCTGAGCCCTTACAGTTGCCTGCTCTCCCTGAGCTACAGACTCCATGGGAATCCACCTCGGAATGATTCAAGCTCTTTTCGTTTCCTGTACCTTTAGATCCTGGTGGTACGCAGCATTTGGTTTCTTGCATGTGGTTAACAGCGATGTCTCGAAGGACTCCGGAGGTCTCAACTGATCGAAATCATCTCAATAAGTTGAAACTTTAGTCAGGGGGGAGCTCTACCTTCAGATTCCTTCTAGACCTCCAGTCTTCTCCAGTCATGTCCAGTCATCCCTTTGATTTTTGTTGGGCGGTCTTTCAGTCGGACAGACTGAAGAGCGCCACCCTCCGGCACCGCGACCGTCCGCGCAAATGTCGCGCATGTCGCACGATGTCGGTGGTCACTGGCCCATGAGCTCAACACCCAGGAGTTTGACACCCGGCCTTCGAAGGTGCTGCTCCAGGAAGTACGGAAGTACGATCTGCAAGACCTTTGTGGATTGGGGGCACCCCAACTAAGAAGGGGTGGAGAGCCTGATCACCTGCAGGTCACCTTTTTGTTGTTAGACACCTGGGGAGTTGAGTGGAGAAAAACTCGAACTATATAAGAAGACTGGCATGTTCTGTGGAGCGATTTACAGTGGTTTCAGAGTCGGTGGTGGGCCCCAAGTTTGGTGGTTTAGTGGACCCGTTGGGGTGCCAGTGCTGAACCTCTGAAACCACTGCATAAAATAACCCCAACATACCCCAACAAAAGCACATTCATTGCTCAAAACCAAGGCACTGGCACCCCAACAAGTAACTTTAGATGATGGTCCACTACTAAACCACCAAACCAGGAGCTTCGAAGGATGCCACTGCAGCTGCAGCCGACACCGCGTGCCATACATGGGAGTCGCTCGGCCATGTCGGGTTCATTCGGACTGACTCGCTCCACGGGGCACAGCGCTCGGCACACGGCACACGGTGTCTCCGCTGCAGCTGCCTGGCGGATCGGCGGATCGGTTGATTTCCCGCCCAGGCGATCCATGGGACGGCAAATATGACCGACATTTGATGGTCATTGGCTGCCTGGTGAGTGTAGGTCATATGCACTTTATGTATGATATACATTTGTATACTATATGTTGGATTCTTTTGGGACAGGATGGGGTAGGTTTGCTCCAGTTATTTTCCTTGCATACCCAGCAACACATCCGGTGGCGCGGTTGGGTCTGCCAGAGTCGTTGCACAAGGTCTCCGGTCTCGCTATTGTTCTATACCAGCACCTTCCTTACGTGGTCACCTGGCTGGTTTCGCCCCAGCCCACGACCTATAGGGACCTTTATTGGACACCCCTTGTACGAACCAGTGGGTGAACTCCACGTAGCCATGTGTTCGTCGGAGTGTACACCCACGCGTTCATCGGGACCGGACCCTCCCGGAAACCTCGTTCCGTCTCGAACGGGCAGGTTCTCGGTCTCGCCGGCGCCCAGCATGAAGGCGGGGGTTTGAAGCATGGATTGGACGAGTCTGCCTAAGGCTCCTGTCCCATCTCCTCAGGTGACTGGTGGTATTCGACCCGAAGGTCTCTTCGATGGAATGGAAAGACCGGAAGTTGGATCCCCCTATCCCAGCATCCTGCTGAAGTTGGAAGGTCTCAACTTCAGCCCAAAAACATCACCAGACCAAGAGTGGGGCTCCCCACATGACACAATTCCAGGAGAGGACTCCGGATTTGGATTGATTTGGATGTCCAGCTCGCAGCTGGGTTGCTCCGCAAGGAGGCAGGAGAACCCACTGCCATGACGGGGTTTATTGAAAACCACGGAGCACAGTGGCAGTTTGACCGCCTGAGGGTGGAACGCGTGTGAACATGTCGACAGGTGCCTCTTTTGATGGGATGCCAGGCGCGGCGCGCCGCGCACTAGTCGTCGTTTGAGGCGTTTGCTGCTGCTTGGTGATGAGGCAGACCTCCAGATGTTGTCCATTTTTACGTGTAGGGTCGCCGGGTTCCACAAGCATCACCATTTTTTTGAGATGGAAAGGCCTGGAACCTAACCATCATCATCCATTGGGCAGTCCACTGGGCGTATTGCCCTTGCAGTTGCCCACTGCAGATGGGTCATTCTTGGGAGGAAAACCCTACCAGCATGGACACTTGATTCATTGCCGAGATATGTATGGAAAGGATATGAAAGGATGCGACATAAAGACATATGGCATTATGAGATGCCTTGAACGTGAACGATATAAGAGCGTCTCATTCATGTTGCGCATGCTCCAAACCCTGGCAAACGCTAGGGGACTCACAAACGAAAGTGTGCTACTCTACTTGGGAAACTGTCAGTTTCTCAAACACTTGGACGATGTCACAGCTGCACAAATAAAATACATTAAAAAAAACAAACAAACAACAACATACAAAAACAACATCTTGGCCTTATCATATTAGAGACAGACCATCCATGAACTTCATGCCGCCTGGTATCCTCCGCGTTTGCTTCGCTGTTCGCGACTCGCCATGCGACTCGCCGAGGACCCGGTCCTTTCACTTCAGCACGGTCTCTCAGACGTCCCGCCCTTCCGGACGGGGCCGGGCGGAATGGGTGGGCCTCTCAAAAGCCATACTCGTTGATCACCTGAAGTGGTCTAGATTAAGCAACTATATAGTAGATAGCTTAGTGAAAGAACATGAAAGAACGATAAGTTTCTGGGGAAAGATCAAAAAGCACCTCCTAGTCTTTGTTTTCTCCCGGAGGTGAAAAGACCGGGCATCGATGGCCTGGGCCTTGTTTTTCTTTGCACGGTGCGTTTTTCCCATCCAGGGCTTTCCGCCTCCTCCAGGGCATTGAACGCCTCCTCGCACGTGCGCGGGGACGGCGCGGACGCGGCCGAGGCGTGGCATCGATCAGGTGAAGGTGGACTTGGGTAGCGGCCAAGAACGAGCCATGCCTCGTAAGACGGGAGGGGGAATAGCCATGCATGAGCCAAATGGATAGTCATTGGTTCCAAAAAGGATGATTTGGAGGTTGGAAGAGGGTGGAAGATCATGTGCTTCTTTTCTCAGAATCGGGGCTTTAGGATTGGCTGGATGGCTTGCCAGGACTTCAAGATACTTCAAGAAAGAATCTTTAAGGCCTTCAGGATTCATAGTCATAGACAAACAGACATAGACGAACTCCGGATATGGAGCCATGAAAGTTTCAACCGCCCATATTTGCGTCAATAATCTGGCAGTGATGGGTGGTTGCACCTGCCTTGGATGCTATGGATCCTGTCTTGGATGCCATGGATCCACTGACTTGGCAACATCCCCAAAACCAAAAACTTGGCAACATCCCTGCTCGGGGCTCCGGCGCAAGCTTGAGGATTGGCTCAGCAGTTTGAGCTGGAACGTCAGCAGACAGCATCTTGGCTTTTGCTTAGATCGGGATTCTTAGATTGGGTGGATTCTGATGATCCGGTTTGTTGCTGAATTTTCTGACCTAGGTGGAATCCCTTGGCAATCTTGGTGAATCTGGGACAGCTTGCTGCTTGAAGACAGTCACACATAGGGGATCGGTATGCTGTCCCCAGCTTCGGCGGCAGATCCAAGGCATCATCCTTGGCCTCACTCCAACAGCAGGTCTGGGGTCTCGGGCGAAGGATTTCGCACGATGTCGGGCGAAGAAACGCGGCACAAGCGTCTAAAAATGGACGCAGGACGCACACCCAAAAGGGATCAACCAGGTTTGGGGTTTAGGGCCGTTAAGGCGGACACGCGGAGTAAGGCGACTAGGTGGCCCTCTTGCAGGGCAGCGGATGAGCCAGGGTTTGGATCGTTCCATGTTGAACACACACAACAAGGAAAGGTTTTTGGCTGCCAATCGTCCAGTCCATGTTGCAGCTAGCTTTTGAATTGTTATCAAAGTGTAGTGATGACAAGATTGCTTGCCAAGTCGACGAAGTGTCGAACAGTGGGGGGGGGCTACTTGTTTGGCGGCAAGCTCTCACTCTCGCTCCCACTCATCCGCTAACAAAAGCTTGACGTTTTATTGGTATGCCGGTACATCATGTACATCATGTACACACCTTCCTGAAACGCAAGGACAGGCAGACGTATCGATGATTCTTACTATAAACATGAACATATCCAATAGTGATCAATAGGTTTTTTCTTGATACAACATCCCTTCTTTTGATACTCTATAGACACCCTCTATAGACGGGGGTGATCCAAAAGACACCCGAGTGCCCGTACGCCGTCTGCTGCGGACCATGCGGTCCAGGTCGACCGCATGATGTCCAGCGTGGGCGAAGTGGTGCTTCAACAGAACCAGGTGCCCGGGTCCAGCCCGGTCGATAGCACGGACAAGCAAGCTAACCTTGTGATCAAGCTGAACAGCAATGGGGCAATATGTCATAGAATCAGAAAATGCCACGTAAAATAATCTAAAAGAATCCTAAATATAGAAACAACCAACTGTTCGAAGTGTTGGTGTTTTCCCAACGGACTGGTCGTCCGTTTCGGTGTTGGGCTGACCGGAGCCTTTTTTGAAACCACCTTTTGCATCTTTTTGGGCTCATATATACGCCTAAGTGTTGCGCGTGTTCTGCCTCCTTGACAAAGCATTTGTGGTTTTATGTGGTGTTCCCGATGATTTTGCATCAAAACATGTTATTGAGGATTATTAAGGCCAGTTGTTCGAGTATGCGGTGAACACTGGCCCACCTTGTCTTCGTAGCTTGTGGTCCCCGCATTCTGAGGCTTGCGGTCGTGGGTCCCAGAAGTCTTCCACATGGCCATATTGATTGGGTCTGTCCGAGCGTAACTGTAGAGCTGTCAGTAAACAAGAACATCACTACTTCCGAACGAGGCCTTTAGTATCGATCATCATCCAGTGGGCCCTGGGAATAGGATAGGCGCAAGATATTGACATGTGACCCCCGAATTCAGCGCCATCACTTGCAGATGAAGACAGAACTAGCTGCAGCCACGTCCACCACCCAGACTGTTCAGATGGAGCACGGAGCACGGAGCTGATTCAAGCCTGCAAGGACCCTGCAAGGTGCCACGGGTTTCACAGATCCATGTTGATCATGGTGTGAAAAACAACGAGTCAGGTGTTGGATTGATGGTATATACCCCAAGTGTTCAGGTTCCCATGTTTGCGGGTACGTTTTTCCCGCTGCGTGGGCAGTCAAGTGGGGTTTCCAATAACATTATAGGCTATAGTTCTACAGTCATACATAAGTCCAAGTCGATTTACTCGCTTTCCAACAATCAGAGAAGTGGATAATGTCCCTCGAAACCTCAAAACGCCGTAGAAAACGATTTTCCGATCTTTTGTCCACTTCCATGATTGCTGGATGGATGGTGCAATTATATCGTTATAGATTATTTACCATTATTTATCTTGTTCAGTAGGGTTTGGGGTGCAGATAATTGAACGAAGGGTGTGAGTCAGTGTGTGAGTCACCTGCGCGTTTTTGTTTTAAACAAATTTGTAATTGGCCATATTTGTTGCGAACTTCAGCTGTGCGAAATGACATGGCTCGGGCCACGGGAACAGGCCGGAAACATTGGGCATCATTGGCAGTTGATCACCTAAAGCAGCATTGCAGGAGGCTTCCATAGCATTCCGTGATCCAGTGGAAGTTGCAGTTGCATTGGTGTCATCCAGAGAGCCTTGTTATTTGCAAGTCATTTTCCACGCAATGACTTTGTCTCGAAGTCCGGCATGATGCCACAAGGACAGTGACTCAGACCAGGTGCACATCATGTCGCCCACAAGGGCTGCGAAAGGGCCCTTTTGGTTGCCCCCTTTTTTTGGTCGTTCTGAGGTCGCAAGTTGAAGAGCTTTGGAAAGAAAGGAGTGCCGAAAGCCGGAGGTTTCTTTCGTGCCCAGCAATGTGCTCACAGAATTGTGATCCGGCTAGCTCAACCACGCCAGGTTGTTCTTGCAGCAGTTACCTTGGTGGGGATAGCGGAACCAATAGGAAGACAACGTTTGTTTTTTCCTCCCGGACCCTTAGTTTGGCGTGTTGGAGCTACAAAACGAATCGGGATCGCAAAAATCACCTGGGCTACAGAGACATGAGAAATCGGTTCAGTAGATCACCCAGCCATCCCAGCCATCATAGATCACCCAGCCATCCCAGCTACAGGACACTTCTGTTCTCTGTCATCCGTGTCTCGTGTCCCCGTGTCCCCGTGTCTCGTCCCAGGAGGCTGCCCAACGGGGGAACCACAGAGGCACGGACGGTGGATGAGGTCCAGTGGCTGAAGATCTGGTAGACCTGGTATAGGTATGTGATGGTATGTGTAATGATGTGCATGCTTCAAACCACAGAGAAACATAGGTGTAGGACATAATGCTTCCACGGAGAAACACGCACTATAGCACAAAACGAGGGTGAGCCCCCACCGCGCAACCAGGAGTCCAGCCTCGCCTCGGGGCTGCGTGCCGCCTTGGCTGAAGCCAAGCAGGCGGCTCGCTGATCGAGCTGTGAGTGGGAATGAGTGTGCTGGGGCAGAGGTGGACATGCATTGACGAAGTGAAAAACCACACCCGACTCGAATCCCCTAAATCTATCTATATTCAATCATTTAAGGTAGGCAGGGTTGGTGATGATGAATTATTTGGGAAGCTTCGAGTCAACGTCTCCCCAACGTTTGAATGCTCAAGCCAAACTGGGGAGACGCCCTTGAGGAGCAGTGTCACTGCTGGTACCGCAGGATGGAGTGCTCCCACAGGGAGAGTGTCAGATGACACACGCGACGTGGGTCGCATTTCAAACCAAAGCACTTCAGTACAGACAGTACAGACCTGAATCGATTCGCAGAAAAAGGTAGCGGCAGCTGATATATGTTGATTGAGCTTCATCGAATATATATATATATGTATATATATATCTATCTATCTAAATCTCACTCACCTGTGCAACTTTGCCAGGCTTGACTAAGCCTGTGCTTACTTCGATCTCCCACCTCCGACCCAGCCAAGCCCGAACCTGCAAATCAGGAGCTGCAGAGCTCGCTGACGGCTGGTGAGGAGCGTTTGCGACAGCAGGCGAAGGACAGTATTGGCACCCTGGTCGCAACATGAGGACCGCGATGTAGTGAAAGTCAGTCCAGAGAAACCAATTTGAGATAAGAAGCAAGAAGACGACATATAGTATATATATATATAATACACTATATATTATATATATATATCGTTTTTGCTGTTTTTGGTGTATCCCACCGAATCGAGGAGCAGTGGTCCCATTCCAGCACCAGACTCAGTACATCTCAGTACTACTCGGTAGGGTTGATGTTTGACACCTCTCCTGGATATTAATCCAAGTTCGGACGTCACGAACGTTCTAAATTGAGGTGTCCCTTTGCTTGGAGTAGTCTTAGAATATCATAGAATGAAATAAACATATCCAACCTGTATAATATAGCAATGGAACTAGTGACTAGTGAGTCGGTTCATGGATGAAGCTTGTGTCGCAAGCACGTGAGCGACAAACAAACAGATAAAAACACCTGTTGAATAGCCTCTGAGAGAAAACAATTCGTTTGTTTGGCCTAGGTAGATGTTTGAAACAACGACGGGCAGTGAAGGCAGTTGATCCAATGGTGATGTTTTTTCTTCTCAAAGTCAATCTGCAGTCGAAACTGCAGCTGCTGCCTGTTTTGTTGCAGGCCCATGACCTTCCACCGCATCCTACATTCGGTATTGACGATACTTCTATGATCTTCTATGGCTCCAGCATCCACAGAAAACAGAGGTTACATATCTTTTATACAGGCCAAACACGCACACATACATACATACATAAATACATACCCCTACATACCTACATACATACCTATATACTTCAGGCAGACAAAGCTTATGCTTGTTAACCATGTTCAAACAACGCTGTAGGGTCAGCTGCGGATCGAAAAAACCAAGTCCAATTTTCGTGGCAGGTGTGGGACAGTCAATTATCACGCCGTTTTAATATTATATTACGAAAAGGCTTCCCGGTGTGAAAAATGACCGCCCACACGGCCCCAGTTCTCCCAATGTAGGATTCTAGGGGGTTAAGGTTGACATGAGTTTGTGCTTCAAGAAGCGCAACTTTTGTTTGGCCAGTGTGTATATATGCGGTAAACATTGACTGAATCCAAATTTGATCATTGAGAACTACTACGATCCCACGTGTTGTTTGGATCGGCAAGCCCTTGGCGAGCCAAGATGATGCTATCGCCCAGCTTCTCGTGAAGGAGCAGATACAAAGACTGGATGCAACTTGGAGATGAACATGGCGGGTTTCTTAGCACCCTGGCTGAGCACAAGCAAATCACAACATATCACAACTGGTTTTGGGGTGTTTGGCCTACAGCAGTTCTCAATCCTCTATTCGTGAGGGAATTCCTTCACTGTTACCGCTCCAGACATTTTCTCCTTTTCGGGGTCATTGTTTGACCCCACATGCCTCCAGTCCAACATGCTCAGGAAGTAGAGCAAATTGTGCCTCTATATCTCGTATATCTATTTTCATCATGCAGGGCCATGTGTCAGGGGGTCCCACCGTCTTTTTTCTTGTTTGATCACCAAGGGCTTGCCACCACATGTTCATACATGTTCTAATATTTTCTACTAGCTCATATTCTTCGGAGAAGCTGGTCGATAAAAAATTCAACATAATCCAACAAATGCCCCCAAGAAGCCGTATTTGTGCAGCATCGGACGGGCCCTTTTAAAGGTCGGGTGCTAAATGTCAGCTGTCCATCGAGGCCAAACCTCAACCTTTCAACGGGATTCGGTTCACGTTGGGTGGTCATGCACTGGTGTGCTATTTGATCCATACACCTACGACCTACGACTTTCGCAGGGCGACCGTCCACCAAGACCCCAGCACAGCTGTGCCCGCACAGCATTGGACCGCGTGGCACCAAAAAAGTGGTGACATCCGCTTGAAGTTGAGGGGTCGTCTACAAAAGACAAAAGTCTGTAGTTTGAACTTTCAGGATCCACTCTATCACATTGTTTTTTTGTTGAAAGCGATGCATGAAGTCAAGACATGTCTTCACCAACGCGGCCCCAAAAAGATTGGAACCAATGCGGCACCGCCTCAAGGACCAGGTGCGTGAGCTCTCCGCTGCCTTCAAACCCATGATCGCGCGCATCACCCTACTCAGTGAGCAGTGCCGCCCTCACTCAGCGCCGAGCAAGGTAGAGGAGGACCGGTAAGGACGTCATGTAAGACTGGGTGTTCCAATTGGTGGTGTACTGCGTGCGACTCGATGGAAGTTTCGAGAGAGAGAGAGAGAGAGTTGAGTTTAACTATACTATAGTATACGTATACTATAGTTCTTGTGTTCAAGGAAAGTTTGACTGGCAGATCCGTGACAAGAAGATTGATCCTTGTGTGGCAAAATGTTCTTGGAGCATTTTGGAGTTTCAACCCACCTTCGCACAAATGGCCGCCGTGGCGTCAAGCCATTTGTGCGATGTTGTGTAGAGTCCAGATTCCTGACAATTTGTATATGTTATTTAATGGTTGAAGACTCATATATTCTCAATTTGTTTTTAACTTTTTTTGGACCCCCAGTTGAATCAAGAGGGCACAAGGTGTGTATGATCATGAACAACGAGTAGACAAAAACGGTGCAAGGCATGCCCGAAAGGCTTGAGCACCTATAGCAACAGATAGTCTCAGATAGTATTAAATTTAGATCAAATTAGATTGCAGGGCATGTCTGAGTACAGCGACATCTTCAAAGTGGATAGCAAGCAAAAAGCAGAGGTTCCTTCATGCTGTGTTTGTTTCTCCTTTGTTAGCTAAATCATCTATAATATAAAGTAAGTATCTGTGTCTAGGCCACAGATCATGTTCCAATAAACTTTCTATGGTTTTCTAATAGCCCGGGTCGTTTTGGACCTGATGTCCCCTGGGCCACCCGTTTTCACGAGGTGCGAGGCGCCCAACTCCACCAAAGATGAGGAGGTGCTCCGCATAGCAATTGGGGGCACAGTTTGGGGTCCTTGTAGGGCTGCTTGACCTTTTTGAAGTATTGAGAATTGTATGAATAACTTTGGATGAATTACATAGATACATTGTATCGAAAAAAAACATAAAAACTTTGGATGGAATTACAGAGATGAAAGAATGAGATGTGGGACATGACCGTGGAAATGGTGCAGCCTGGATGGTGTTCGACGTGAAGCGGAAACAGTCTCAGCGTACCAGCGAGTTGCCTAGCTGCTAGTCTCAGAACTGTTTGACTGAAGCAGACAGCAGCGGTGGAACAAAAACACTAAAAAATTGCTTTATATAAACGAAGCAGTGTATACAGTAGATTTAAGCCTTGAAGCTTTCTACAACCTACTATTGTTAAATGGAGAGGCTATCCCAAAAGAGTGTGAGATCACAGTCTCCCGACGAGTTGTTTTTCGCCTCGCTTTGATGCTACATCAGGGCTCGCTTCCAAAGCCTCAAGAAACTCAACTCATGCGGAGGCTCAGCCACAGCCTGAAGTGAAGAGGCCGGATCCATCAAGGGCGGACTTGGATGAGAACAGTCGTTGGGCTGGGAATCCAGAAGCTGGCCAATGGCCAAATCTTGGGGAGGTTGAAGTGATGAAGTTGCAATATATAGGTGGTGTTTGCGTTCCTGGCTAGTTTGCCCTTTGTGAGGCTTCGAAACTCAGCAGTGACTCTGGTTCAGACTTGTAGCTGTGTCCATGATTTGTTCAAGTCTCCCCCTCACTCACACCCGACAAGGCCATGTCCCTGATCACGATCACGGAACATCATGAACACATCAAAATGCGTTCATGATCATGAAGACCTTTGCAGATCCATTTTGCTTTTCAACCTGCCCTGGGCTCGTCCTCTAGCCGGTGGCCACGAAGGATCCCAGCCTCTTGGGAAGAGACGCCTGATGCAGCAGATGCCGAGGCGGGCGGAGCGCAGCGACTTCAGCCGGAGCTGTGGGCCACTTCTCCCAGAGGAGGTGACTCAGAAGCTCGGGAAGCTCTGTGAGGTTCTTAAGCACAATCAACATATCCCAGACACCCCATGGGACTGCCATATATGCCGCCACATTGACCCCCCAAACCACCACCCCTGGCCTGATCGGCAGTCCTATTCCAGTCCCATTAGTCGCGTTTGGGTATGAAGACGTGGCCAAAAGTCCCGTGCTTGATGATGAACAGATGAACAGATGACAACAATTCTTTTGCGGCTTTTGCTGGTCAATTCTTCCGTATCTTCAGCGGCACGCAGCGGAAGCGCTCGCAAGCAATTACACCATGGTGGCGCTAGCAACCCCCCTAGGGCGCTAGATTGTCGTGCCCAGGAGTACCCTTTGTAGAAAGAATGTCTCTTTCTGATCTTTGATCCGTCTCGGAGGGTGTTTGTTAATTGAACAGATCCAGCACCACTTTGGGGGCTAGCATTTCAAGGATAGATGCTGGAAAGGATTTCATGCTGCAGAGATTTGCTAGCATGCAGTGGTTTGGCTGGCTTGCTGAAAAAGACAGCAATTTAGAATTTGTCTCAGAATTTTTGCCCTAGATCCGCGCTAGCAGGAATTAACAAGAATTGTCCCGTAAAGGCCACCATCCCTCTTTCCAGGTGCTGGCTTGAAAACTTGTAGCCAACATGATGCTCTTGGAAACAACATAGCCAAAAAAGAAAACAGCTTTTCCAGTGGTAGCTTGAGAGTGGTGAACATGTTCGCAAAACATACAGTAGTCAAAACCCACATTTGAAGAGCAGTTGGGTTTATTAACATGAAGCGACCCGCAAGGAATTGCGATTTAGCGCCACATATGGGAAGAACATAGACATACAATGACCACCATATGGGATTCGTAGATAGACTCATAAGTTATCATATGTTCATAATGGTTCATTATATACAATTTAAATAAGCACACACACACACACACTGTGGGTTCTCCAGTTGGGTTCTCCAGTTGGTGTCAAGGTTCATAGGTGTTTTGCTTTTGTTTCTGATTCGTGTCACCATTCAAGGAGGTGGCCAGGCTCAAAGTCAACGATGGATGAACTGCCCTCCCACCCGTCAATCAAGAACAAATGTTTGTATACTCCCTAGGGCTCCAACCATATCCTCAGAAGGTATGACTGGACTCTCCAAACCCACTCCAACCACCTTCTCAGGAGGTGGTTGGAGCCCTAGGGACTACTCAGACTCGGCTTGGGGTTGGATGAATCAACCAATCAACCTGCGCCTCCTCACCTCCTCACCCCTCATCCTTCGAGGTGCCAACATCCGTGGCGGCAGCGCGCGCACCGGCGGGTTCGCCGGAGCTGGGGATGCTCAGAGCAGCCGAGGTGGTGGAGGTTAACAGGGCGGAATGCACCCGTATTGTTTGACTTGAACAAGGACAAGCCCCATACTGAAGGGGCTTTACAATCCAAGTGTGGAGGAGGTTGAAATATGTTGAAATATCATCAATAGTTTAGTTGTAAGTGACCAAGATTCCCCAGGTGGATGAGCTGGTGGAAGCCAGCAGGTCAGGTGCAGTGACAGTGATGTTCAAGCCGTTGTTCACCCCAGCGTTCAAGTGTGGCTTCGGGCGAAGGATGGAAACGCACCAAATGCCAGAAGCAAGGGCGAACCAATGAACCAATACCATGTTTTCAACAGCTGGAACCACAGACGCGTCAAGGCACAAGCAAGCTTGATCATGTATAGTGCTGGCACACAGTCTTGGTTTACCCCAGATGAGGCATACATATGTCATATAAATCTTCCTTCCTTTGCCAGAAATCGGATGCACCACTGCACCTCCGTTCCCAGTCATCTTCCCCGGCCAACGGCGACCGCCCCAAAAGCCGGTGGCGGGAGACACTCAGGTCCCACGTTTCGCCTTCCACCTCCGCGGAGGACCGAGGGCGACCAGACAGACTGGAAGAGGATGGTCCCTCTAGCAATCCAGAGGTTTTTGCAGGTTTCCATGTGAGTCTCTCCCGGGGCGAAAACATGTGCATATATATATATATATGTGTGTGTTTCTTCGTGTGACACGTGGTGTGCACAGCAAAACCCATTTGATCATCTGGAAGCAATCACGCGACTTGTGCCCCTTTCTTTGAGGAAGAAATCAGTCCAAGCACGCAGCAATCTCCACGCAGCACCTGGAGAACCCAGACGACTCCAGATCGACTCTAGACGACCAGAAAGAAGTATGGGTGCTCCTCAATGTCAAAGAACCACTACGACACCCGGATCAGGGGCTTCCGACAGAGATCTTAGAGGTTATATCAGTCTCCATCAACCACCCCGACTGCGGGTCCTGGTATATTGTAACAACCGTTTGTTTCTGGTTGGGGCTGGGCTTCCTGCATATGCATCATTCAATGCTGAGAAGCTCACATTAGCGATACAGACTTAGCATGTTATATATATATATGTGTAAACATATGTAATCCAAACGATCCATGTAAGCAAACATTGCCAACATTTGGTGGCTTTTGGTGGTGAGTGTAGGTCATATTAACTTACATGGATCGTCAGGGTAAACTATAATACAGAGTGCCTTGTTGGGAGGCTACCTGCATATGCCGAAGCAAGCGGATACCGTACTGAGGGGGTCGGGATGGCTTCAGAGCCTAGAATGCTGTATGACCTCCACTCCCGTAAACTAACATGGACCCTGACAATGGCATACAGTGGCCCCATGGAAGACGATTTTCCTCTACCAACCAGTGGTTTTCAGGGTCCATGTTAGTGTTGCAGGGCGTACTTTTGGCGGCTACGTTATGTCAGCCCTCAAACTGAAACTGACCGTATAATGTAGGTCTCCCGGTAGCAGAGGCTGCGGGAGCGTGTATACACATGTTCACCCTATGTTCACCTTCCAAAGTCAGTCAGGTCCTTCGGAACATCTTCACCTGTGTATATTGTTTCGGAGCTTCCTGCCTTGCCGTTTCAGGTGGGAAGTGGCCCCACACCGGTGTCCAGCGAGGACGGCGTTTTGAAGAGCCCGCTCGGACGTGGCGTGATCCATGCTTCCGTGGGTTCAAGTCCAAAGAACGCAGATGCTATCACATTCTCCAGGGGGTCACGTTTTGTGGCCTGTGAGTTTAAGGAGTGTGTGTTGGGAAGTTCTGAGGGGTGTGTGTTTCCTCCGGAGGCGGTGAAGCTCTCTTTTTTTTGGACCCCAGCCAATGGGTGGCTGGGAGTGTGTGAATCCATGTCGCATCTACGTCGCATCAACACTGACTCCACCAATCCCATCTTTACAGCCCCCCCCAGAACTCCTGGCTCAGATGCCAAAGACCAGGCCTTTTGGCCCTTTGGCAAAGCCTAATATATATATATATAAATCATAATCATGTGGATATCATGTGGGAATTCAACCAAGAGGGGTAGAAATCCACACATCTCCTCCCTTGAGCTGGTTTAACTTGGTGGCCTTCGACGATCACTTCATTCACTTGGTTTGAACCGATTGTCACCACTCCCAGCCGAGGTTGAAGGTGACGGGTCCTTTTTCAGGTCACTTAACCTTTGTTGCTCCTCGTGCCGGGCGAGTTCGCGACCCCGTGGCACATGCCGCACCACTCGTGCGTTTACGCGACACGTGCCAGGCCTCCTCCCGCGGGCCCACGCTGTTGGAAGCAGCTGGGCGACCTCAGGCGAGAATGGCCGAGGAAGTGCCAGGAAATTCCAAGAGAGGTCAAGTGACCTTATAGGGCCTTACTGGGGTACCTATGGGATAATCGAACTAGGGTTCTTCGGCCTTTGGTTTGTAACATATGTTCAGAGGCAAGCGGAAAAGCGTGGTGCACAGAAAGGGTAGTATTGCAAAAACCTACTGACTTCGTGGAAGGTCCGTGGCATGAAAGTGGAACCTGGGGCTATTCGTGGAATGGTGGACCAGTAGTAGGAACAAACTAACCGCAACAAAAATATGGAAACCTTCACGGTATTTTTGATGCACTAACTTTGTATAAACAATTGTTCTGACCCTTTTTCTACACATACCCTGAATTGAGCCTGCTGTATCTTTACCCATATATGGACGTTCAAATCATAGAATAATATTGATCGATTGTGAATTCTTCGGGTAGTATTGAAAGAACACTTATCGGAATAGGAGGTATGGAGGCGGTAAGTGAGATGCTGTTGCATTTACACACTTGTGACATGGGGGGAGTGGTTCGACATGGTTCAACAAATCATCTTCGATGTACCCCGACTCCCCTTGCAGTGGTTTGGCTGGATTCCAGCAGGCACTAGCAGGTGGTGCAGAAAGCAAACAGGGCACCTGACATGGTTGGGGTCAGACCAAGAAGGAATCATGGAATATCATGGAATCGATTCTTGTACATGTGTACACCCTACAGCACTTAATTCAGGTAGCTTACCTTTGGATGTCAGCTCAGATGTCTTTGCTACTGCTATCTGCTGCTGTTGCTGTTACTGCTCCTTCTGCTCAACTGCTAATCTACTGTTGCTGCTTTAGCTTTTTAGATCCTTCTAAATTCTACCCCTTTCTACCGTCCAATTCGCCGAGAGCGCCCACAGGTTGAGGAGGGTGAGCAGAAGGCGAAGGCGGGACAGGACGGGGTCGCAGTGAGGATATTTAGGATTCCACCTATCTCAAGATAGGGAGGTCTCTTCGGACTTCATTGTACAAATGACGTGTTTGTTATCAATGTTTTCCCCAAACTTTGCGCACTTTGTGCTTGAACGTTTGGCATAATATTGGACATCCATTGTTTAAGGAACTTGTCAATGCACTTCTCGATCCAAAAAGCGGTCTCTGGAGACGTGGATTCCAGCCATGCCCACCCGGAGTTCACAAGAGTTCCCAAAAAAATGGTGAATCGATAAAAGGGATGGTGAGCCGATGTCCCTCAACATCCCTGTTTAAAAAAATGACCGGTTTTTTTGATTCGATTCATAGACACCCCACGCCCGGCAAAGGCCGAAAGCAGTCCTCCCATGTCCCGCGGAGGGTCGATCTTCAGCGGAGCGGCCCGCAGCTGCCAGGTGATTCAGATTCCCATCCAGCGTCGTTCCTCCGCCCCAGGCGGGGAACCCCAGGCGGATCGCATCCATGGAAGAATTTGTGCATTTACACTCCCGAAATCTAACATAGACCCGGGCCCAATGGCCCCCTCAAAGAGTGTTTTCCTCTACCAGCCAGTGGTTTTGAGGGTCCATGTTAGTCTTCCAGGGTGTAATTGGGTTTGCTGAGTTCCAATGTAATTTGGAGCACTTCGGCCATTGACTCGGCTATATACACTCCCGAAAACTAACGTGGACCCTGAGCATGGCACCCTCAAAGACTGTTTGCCTCCAAAAAACAGTGGCTTTCATTGGGCTTCAGTGGGGTAACTCGATCCATGTTTTGGTGATCATCGGCCAGTGTGGGGTGCATCCATTCTCACCCCAGCCCCCCCTAGCACCCAAGACCAGTCAATCAAAGCTTGACCTGTTGTGGCAGCCTAAGAAAAGGTGCCCTAACATGAAACAAATATTGCTCTGGCAGGAAATGAAGTTGGAATCCTAGACGAGATGCTTTCTACATGTTCAAACCCTATCACTGCACGTTTATATCAAGCAATGCACCACCTGCAGTTAGGTCGACTGTTGAAACATCAGCCTGTGCTCTCAGGACACCCTTCATGGAAACCGTGCGCGTGCATGTTCCCCATGGCAATTGAGGAAACATACATCCCATGTACTGCCTGTTGCTCCCACATGGGCTGAACAGATCCGGTTTCGGCCCTTTCACCGTCCACCTGGCCTTATCCTCGCTTCGAGGACCCTTCCTGAACGTGGCGCCATGTCCTTAGCGTGTGTAGCACGTGTTCGTCCTTGAGAGGGGTTGACCTGGCCAGTGACTCCCAGAATGGGTTTCAGTTGATTCAGGAAACCTCTACATTGAAACCGTGGTCTTCACTGCAAAAATGATGGGATTCCTGCAGGTGGTCCCTTAAACCATTCTGGGACAGTTGCTAATCTAGCAAGCCTAGTAGCAAGCCTCTACGTAGAGGAAACGGATTTCCGATTTGGGGGGCAGCGCTTTTTTGTTTGAGCGCCACCAACTAGGCAATGTAACAGTCAGCGAAACACAGTGAACTCTTTGGTAGCGATACTCAGACGTGCTTTACATGGCCAAATTTATTACCACCTGCCAGGTGAGGGTTGTTAGATTCTATCAGAGGTGGTTTCCATTTTTTAAATAGAGCTTGATAAGCTTTGGCTGCTGCTGCTGCTGCTGCTTTGGGCTTCAGGCCGCAACAAAGCCCGAGATCACCGACAACAGCGGTGCCAGCGGGAAGGATGTGAGACGAGGGGTTCGGAGGGGTGTAGAGAGACTAACGCTTCACAAGTGTTCCTAGGATTTTGACCAACAACCATTGATTCAATGCTTTTGTTCCAAGCAACCATTGTTTACTATGTTTTACTAAGGGATTTTAAAGGTCTAGGATCTTGGCCTCCACCCAACAAACATGGAAGATACGCACGGAAAGTAGTGGATTCATCGCCCACAGCGGGATCAGCCGTGGAAAACCCTTTGGGGTCAGAACGGTCAGAACCAGTGCACTCCCACGTTCGGGACGTCGCCAGGAGGCGCCGTGGTTTTGGGACTCCAATGCCCGCCACGCCTGAAAGACTGAGTGGGACTCTCCCGACACGACGCGCTCACCGCTCACCAAGCTGTCCATAGCTGTCCCCTTTGAACGCGGATTCCATGAGTCATGACATGACTCTTCCAACAGAGCGCAGAAAGACACCCTTTTGAAGTCCCTGGGCCCCGGATCCTGCAGGTCTCCCAGGTTGGTCCTGTCAGGTCGCTAGCAACCGACACCGACACCCAGGCGGCGACACCGACACCCAGCCCCATGCGGGTGCCACGCGTGCTGCCAGGTGTGGGACGGAGAGCGGTTGGAAGAAAGCGGTTGGAACAGTGTGGTCCGAACGACCTTTTTCAGGTCCGTGGATTCCATGCAGGTCCGTGGGGTTGAAGAACAGTGTGTAACAGGGTCATTTCACGCGTGGAGGGAAGGTGCCAGCACCAGGTCCTCCAATAGCGCGATTGGATTGGTGAATGTGAGATTCTTGGAAGATTTTGGAAGAGCACACGCATGGTTCCTGCAGGCCTGAACTCAAGTGACTCTAGTGGGTGATCATATTATGTCCGATATGTCCCCTATGTCAACTCAGGTGTTTGAGGGGTAGTGCGATCCAAAAACAAGATGAAAGAGGGAGGAATGGTTTTGCGAATGGTTTTGCTTGATTGGAGTCCACTGAGTTGGCTGAAGCTTCTCATCCCAGCTCATCGAATCTCGGAAGCCCTTTGCAGAGAGCTACTTTGCTACCCGTAGATAGCACTGGCAACCCCTCGAAATCCCGACAGTGTGAACCCTTGAATCCCGACTGGCTCCAAGTACCTCCTCAGAAGGTATTTTGGACCCTCCAAACCCAGCTCAGTCCTACCTTCGTATAAGGCACGACTGGAGCCCTAGGGTGTAGCAATCCGCATCCTCCCGACGCCATCGAACAACCTCAGCCCGCTCAGGCCGAACCGTTCCGCATGGACCTCGCAGGTCGGGTCACGGACCGGAGCTCGTGCGGGTCACACGCCCGTTTGAGCAGAAGGAACTTCGGAACTTGACTAATGATAACCAATGTTGACCTTTGAATATATATACCCTACCATTCCAAAGGCGGTTTTAACAATAGACCTTTATAGAAAGACGGTTTTAACAATAGTCCTGGAAGGCCAGGGTATATATATATATTATTTGCAATGTAACCGTCATATTCATATATGTCACAACCACCCATGTGGAGAGGCTTTACAATCCGAAGTTTGATGCGTCAACAGTCTACGCTGTAGTTCCTGGAGGCTTAGAGTAGTACAGATGTTGCATGTTTGCTGTGGGTATGGGACCGGAGGAGCTTGATACTTCCATGGATGACGTAGAATGGAGCAAATGGCAACTCTTCCAGTCCTACCAGGACCTTCCAAGGGGTGTCCAATGGAGATCCGTCGTGTTTTCGACTTCCATTGGTGACCCGTTGAATGGCGCTGGTATATGGATGGTTTGGGCACCTGGAAGTCGAAGCGCTTCATCCGACCGTAGATCCACATTCTTCGAGCGAGCAAAACACGGCTCCCGATGAGAAGCGAGTGACATCAAGGGGTGAGAGGGCAATGCAAAAGACATGCGATGCACCCGTCACAAGTGTGCGCACGAGATCACTTGCTTTCAAGTCATTTATCATCGAAGTGTCTTTTAGTGGGTGTTTTGTGTAACTGCTCCACCCCCTCCGGAAAAGACAACATGGATTTAAATCATGTTAGGTAAGTGTAATAACTCATTCATACCTGGCTGTGCTGCTGCTGGGTGGTGGCCTGGCTCGCAGGTCTACCTCCTTATTTCCTTCACCGGCCATGATTTGGGGTGGAGGCTGGACGCACCAGTTTCCTACCCAGAGAAAGTGGATCATTTGTAGAACCTCAGAACCTTTGGGGATAGGGGGCGCCCCATTAAACCTGGATTTGCTTAAGATGACGTGTTATTTTCCCTTTGGGTGAATCCCCCAAGTTGGGGAAATATTGTTTCCCGGACCCTGGACAGCAAAGCCAAATAAACTAAACAAGAACGGTTTAGACATATTTTTCAGACATCTCCAGCTCAGGAGTCAGCTTTGTTGGCGGATCCGCGGGGTGTCCGCAGATGCCTTTCATCGGACCCGAATCGGGATCCTGAAGAAAGGGTTGTTTTTTATTGGGGAGAGGGATGCTGTGATACTGCAATTTCATGGATTTCTGTTACGCAAACACTCCATGGGACTCACATTATTTACATACATTGACACCTGAATTCAACCACCCAACGCACACACACACACAAAAAGTAACATATATATATATACATATCGGCGGATATATGCAAGTCCCATGGATGAATTTCTCGTGAATGGCAACGGATCCAAAAGGGTTGACATGGAGGCAACGAGAGCCCCTCAATCACTCTCCGTTCACTCACGATCCGTTAGGGGTTGGCAGCCCATGGGTTTGGCAGAAGTGCCCGGGCTGGGCAACATGCAGTTTGCCCCAAGACTGCCTATGAATGCCTATGATGATCTTTTTGCAAGGGCCTTTGGATGGACAGATTCACTTTTAATTGAATGCTAGGATAAAATTGGTTAGTGTTTGTTTCAGGTGACACTGATGATGCAGTATTATGCATGTTAAGCTCAATAAGTATGTTACGAAAGCCAGCCTTCGTAGAAGGCGCTAGCGGAGTTGTGTCTGGCGAACGAAGTGAGTAGTTAGGGGGTCTGGGGGGGGTGGCCCGAGAAAGGTATACGTCAACTCGGCACATGCTGGGGGAGGAGGGTGCTTCGAGGGAAGGTTTTTTGAGGTTGTGTTGGATGTGATTTTTGAGGGGTGGTGATGCAAGAAATGCCAAATGCATCATTTGCATCATCTGAATGGAAAGGTGTAGTTGGCACCTTGCAAGGTATAGAGACCTAGGGTAGCCATAGTGCAGCTACCAGGTATAGTACTTCAAGTTGCCTTTCCGTCAACCGCTTGAGAACCTCTACACACGCACAGCAATCCACAGCTTTGAAGTCTCATTCGTGCTTTGAACTTGTATAGGTGTGTAAGAGGTATAGCAACATAGTATTTATACGGACCCAGGGTAGCTACAAGTAGCTACAGTTCTGTTCCCGGGTATGGCGCGCATGAGGCTTCAAAGCTGTGGTTTTCAAGCTAAATTCAAGGTGGCCTGAGACCAGGGTTTGCTGCCCTAAAACACTCTGTTCAGGCCACATTGAAAATAAAGGTGTAGTTGGCACCTTGCCAGGTACAGAATGTAGCTGTGGTTTTCAAGCTAAATTCAAGGTGGCCTGAGACCACGGTTTGCTGCCCTAAAACACTTTGTTCAGGCCACCTTGAAAATAAAGGTCTTGTAGCTACAATTCTGTTCCCAGGTATGGCGCGCATGAGGCTTCAAAGCTGTGGTTTTCAAGCTAAATTCAAGGTGGCCTGAGACCAGGTTCAGGCCACCTTGAAAATAAAGGTGTAGTTGGCACCTTGCCAGGTATAGAGACCCAGGGTAGCTATGTAGCTGTGGTTTTCAAGCTAAATTCAAGGTGGCCTGAGACCACGGTTTGCTGCCCTAAGACACTCTGTTCAGGCCATCTTGAAAATAAAGGTGTAGTTGGCACCTTGCTAGGTATAGAGACCCAGGGTAGCTATAGTGCAGCTACCAGGTATAGTACTTCAAGTTCCCTTTCCGTCAACCGCTCGATAGCCTCTACACACGCACAGCAATCCACAGCTTTGAAGTCTCATTCGTGCTTTGAACTTGTGTAGGTGTGTAAGAGGTATAGCAACATAGTATTTATACGGACCCAGGCTAGCTTCAGAAGAGCACTCCGATACTTCACTTACAGCACTCCTTGAAGAGCATGAGTCGCTTGCGCATAGCCACCAGAAACAAAGGATCTTAGTCTTACTGGAAGTGGAATGAAACACCAGGACCTTCAGAATGACCTCTTTGGAGTCTCCAAGTGACCTCATTCGGGACTAAGCGACTAAGTGACCTCATTCTGGGATCTCGGACGGTCACTTTGAAGGTCCTGGTAGACACCAAATGATGTCAATGTGGATAGATTTGGCTACGGCCTAAAACATCGGATTCCATCCAACCCCCCCCCCTGTGCAGAGGAAAAATCCGGGCAAAATGACACCGAACCCCTCAATTGCCAGGAAGCGCAGGTTTTTGTTTTGACATGGTTACCTCTGTGTGGGCAGAACAAGACATGAAGCAGATTTGACACGCGGCCGCAAGCAGCTGCGCGAGCTCATTTGCTTGCTTCGACGCGCAGTTGTCGAGAAAGGGAAGCGCTGGCTTTCGTTTTGCAGCTTCTCAGGTTCAAAAAATACACATCGAGGAAATTCGATGAAGATTGTGCGTGCCCCACCTAAAATCCCTCACTCCCTCAGGCTTTTGGGGGCCTATCGGCCTATCCTCTCAAACATGCTTTCATTATGGACACAAAGAATTGAATCGACGGCTGATGACGGCTTGCTGCTTGTCATGAACCGAGTCTTGAAGCTTCGTTGATAAAACTGGTTGGCCAGGATCTGCCCGATTGCCTCAAAGGCACTACACACCAGAGTCAGGCGAGGATTTGCGGGTCGTTTTGGACAGACTCTTCGAGAGGTGGGTTCCATTAGCAGATCCAGATGTTCAGATAAACGATTGACCTTGACATGGGTCTTCAACCAGCAATTACAGCTACCCAGAACGTTTGAGTACGTGCAGAACGACTGAGGATGGTTCCGTTTTTGGACCAGGTGGACTTAGTCAATGTCCAAATCATGCATGCAATTTTGCGAGCCTTTTCAAAGGGCTGTTTCGTAAATCTCAGGGAACGACTCAACGACAACTCCTGGATATCATATTTGCAAATTATAATGATACCTTTTAAAGATGTTGCTCTTTGTTTGTAGGTGCAATAGCAGCAGCATACATACCTATACTACCTTCCGGTGTCAAATGATTCATGTCTTCCATGTCATGTACCGCATCAAGCGTCAGCACTCCCCGAAGCCATGCTTCCGAGGTGGAGTTCCTCACTTCCATGGAATGATTCCATGGAGTGTCAACTTGCAAGCCGTCTCGAAAACACTGAGGATCGTTCTCTAAAACTTGAGGATCGAACCCCCCCCTTTCTTTCTTTCTTTCTTTCTTTCAAATGGACGCTTCGATTGGACGGACCGGCAGGATCGAACCCCCAACAAAAACAGAAAAAAAACCACCTGTGCCGTGCACCGCCTCCATCGTGCGCCTCCATCGAGCCAGGCTCAATCTTGTCGGTCCACAGCCTGGCAGCCAAGGGCGGCGACCCGGAAATCGGAGTGCTCAAAGGCTTTGGCACCTGGTGGACTACGGAAGCGATGTCTATTATGCATATGTTTATTTATACATGTATTATACTATTTACTTATAATTATATATATATATATATGTATACATTATGGGTGTTACTGGGTGAACTTGTTCAGCAGATTTGCTTTTTCTCCGCCCCCATTGTTGCTTGAACTCGCCCGGGACGCACATGGTCGACCTCAGGTCAACCCATGGGGGCGACGGTGCAAGAGGCCAGCAGGATGAATCCACAGGATCAGGAGCGGAATCCCAAGATTCATCAGGAAGACGTGATGGTTCGGGCGGATGGATGTGGGGAAGAGTCTGACACCGATTCTCGCGGTGGAATCCATGTGGGGCGTGAGCTGGCAGAAATCCTTGTGTCCGTCCTGGCTGAAATCCTTAGTATAAGAGATGACTCAAAGCCTACTTGCACCTGGGTCTTCGGTTTAGACAAAGGTCCCTCTCATGGGTTGGTTGATGGTTGCTGATGAACTTCCAAGGGGCCGAACCAACAACATGTTTGCACGCCTTGTTGGGGACTACGTTAGTTTGAAGGAGAGTACGCTAGCCCTTGCCAATGGATCCAGTTACCATAGATAATGTAAGGAACCAAACAACTTTCTAAGTCAACGATTGGTTCGTTTGATTGATCATATTGGTTGCCTAATAATTATATATGAACACCCGGACCCAGTGGATCCAGTTACCACCAAAGGTGGGAGTTTCAGTGGTTCGCCCAAACCATCGACCGAACTGATTACCCTGGTTTCCAAATAAACAACAAGTGGCTGGCTAGGATCCCGCTCCCCAACCATTCCGTGGAATCACTGAAGTGATGAAGTGACACATAATTCCCTACAAATCCAAAGTACCTTCTCAGAAGGTATGTGGATCCCTAGGGATTAACGTTTCACATCACCATCCAATGGAGAAAACCGCGCAGTTTGCTTTGGGTGGATGGGTGGGGGTTCCTTGTTGTTTGGCTTCCCCCAACACCCGGCGCTCACTCCGGTTTTTCCTTCACGTCCTTGTCCCTAGAGGTATCCCTGCTACACACATGAGAGAGCACAAACTCCTGTTTGTAGAGGCAGCCTCCAGGAGGTCCACTTCCATGATTGTCGCAGGGAGGGTTGTTGCATCCCCCGCTCAACATTGCCGATGGAGTTATCGTTTAATTGTCCACATGGAGCGGTTTTCCCTCCCAGAGGTTCCATGAAGACGGCAAAGATGAGCGGTTGTTTTTGGGAGGTTTTTTGGTCGATCATATTTCCTGATTTGGCGGATCGGGTGATTTTTGCTTTTTTTTCGCGGGAGTCCCCAAACCTGGGAATATGTATGCTTTACAATTCTACTTTATTTGTTTCTCAGGAATTTTCTATCTATAGGACTTTGGAAGCTCAAATTTGAACATTTGCGGACGCCTTGGGTCGGTTTGGGACACCTTGGGTTGGTCGCCGCGGTTTTTCGCGGGTTGTCAGGAGGCGACACGCTTGGAAGCCATGCGCATGGCAGTGGCCACCGCGCGACCGCCACCGTTTGGGGGCTCAAAGACACGCGTGATGATCAGCTTGAGGGACTCTTGGGTGCTCGGAGCTAATTAGAGGACACGACCTGTCCAAGCCTCATGGAGTAGTGTTTTTATATGCCGGATCCAGTGCAATGAGGTCCTTCTTGACCTGCTGAGATCGGAGTCTTACATAGTCTAACGGTTGTGTCGAAGAACCAGCTGATCGAGTGTTTGGGAGGAGGGCTGGAGTTGTTGCTGGCACAAGAGTTGTCCAAGCCAAAGGCCTTCATGGACCCTTAAGGGTGAAGGCTTTGAGGCTTCAAACCCTAAACCCTAAACCCTTGCTATACAGGGTCAACACTCTCCACCATGTTGCATAGTACTTGAACGGAGGAGGAGGAGGGATGCAGGATTCGCCGACCACCCCGCCAGCTAATGCTGTTGTGAATCGTTTGACTCTTGCATGTGCTCCCTGTTATATCCTGTTATCTACCTATGTACCTATCAGCTACCCCCTATACTGATGTCATGACTGACCTACTCCACCCTTCCACCACTAGGGTCATACGATGGCATGACCGCCGCCCCGGCCCCTTCATGTCTCGACGACTCCGCGAGACCTTGTAGACTGTTCATTGATCTAGACGACCATATAATACACTCCATGGGGCCCCCAAACCACTCCAATGTAGGCATAATTAGACATATGATATTATATATGGATATATATGGCTTACATGGAGCGTTTGGGATATGGCAAGCTGTTGCCATCCGAGCTTTTACACCACATGTTTGGGCGCCATCCCAAGCTTTACTAGAGAATCATTTCTGTAAAATCTGTGGGTTTCACGGCCGTCGTCCACTGACATGGAAACATCAACCAGCGCTTGCCGCTGTTCTCCCAAGGCCAGCGCCCCCCGCTTTGCCCGCACCGCGGATCCCAGCAGCGCTGGATGAGGGCAGAGGCATCGACACGTTTTTTCACAACACATGATCCCTGTCACCTACTCCAAATTCGGATTCTTCTCGGTTGTGAGTAGGGCATCGCTGATTTGGAACAGGTAGCGCAGAACGAAAGATATCATTAAATTTACGAAAGCCAGCCGATAGGCTAGGCTGGAGTTGCCGATGGCTAAACGAAGTGAGTATAGGGGGTGTGGGGGCGGTGGTTGCACAGACGGCCCGGCCGCGTAGGGTGAACCCGGAGCCTGGTGGAGGAGAGCGCAAAAAAGAGGCGTCACAGAAAAGGCTTGAAAATGCATGGTTTTGGGGGTCTAGTGAGGCGAGTGGTGCAATTACACCGAAGAGTGCATCATTGGATATCATTAGCATCACAAAGAGCTCAGGAGACTACTTGGACAGTCTTTCAAGAAGGACTGCTGGTTCGGGTAGAGGACAGGAAAGGGGGACTAAGCAAATGCAAGAAAAGAGGTCGGGAGCTCACTCGGCGAGCCAGGTGTGTCCATCCAGTCAGGGGAAAGTAAGAAGTGGCGAGATTTGTGCAAGCCAGAATATATGTGTGTTGCGGGAATCATTCTACAGCAGTGTCTTGATATGCTACCTCCTCTTTGCTCCTTAAGGAGGATACCCCATATTGAGGGGTGCTTGTGCAGGTAGAGGACACGAGAAGAAATAGAATGCAGTCAGCAACTTAGAGTTGCTTGGGTGCTCCTTTTTATAGTGAAGAGGGCTGTTGACTGGATGAAAAAGGAGACCCCTCAGAGTTATAGATGTCCAATTTCGCACGGTCTATCCCATGTCAAGTAACAGTGGATGGGAGTTGATCCAGGCGTTGTGTATATCGGCTCCAGGTCGCGGTCCAAGCCAACTCAATGGATCATGATCAGCTCGTCCTCAGTCAGATTCTCTGCCTGAAGGTGGCCGGTGTTATGGTCGCAGCCCAAATGGCCACCATCTTCTGTGTTCCAGACGATAGCCGTAGCTTCCAAGTGCTCCAGCCGTCATCCACCAAGAAACACGCGTCCCCGACATCATAGATCTTTATGTGGAGATAGTTTCCCTCCGAGCTGTCGCGCTGTCCCAAGCAAGCCGCCAGAGGGCGAGTTCACACGCTGTGGTATCTACTTCCGCTTCTTTCAGCCATCTGGCTCTGTTGCCCGGTACGAAGCTTAGCAAAAACTGAAGCCAATACGTGGAGGGCTGCAAACCAATAATATAGCTAACTGAACCAGAAGCAGCCAACAGAAGCGGGCCACCACAAACGGTGAAAAATAGCTTTTGAATAGAAACAAAACCACAAGCAAAAGCAAACTGCGATGGGCTCATGGAGCGCGTACTTTTTTAGGATTTGTGTCTTTTCATGCCTTTTCCCACATTCAGGAAACAAAGAAACAAAATATATCACTATTAGTTTGGTGGGCCTGCACAGGTCGATGTGGGGAATGTGTTCGTGTGCTGCAGTAGGGCTCTTAGGTGGGTTGAATCTTGTTTACCTCAGCAATTCCGTATGACAGGCCCCCCAACAAACAAAACACGCTTCATAAACCAACTTGCCAACTGAGCAAAGCGAGCCCGCAACCCGAAGTATCTCACGAAAACCACGAAACCACCAGATACCATATGGGACCCTACCAGAAGAATAAAACAGCAAAAATAACAACAAAACATCTCAGGAAATACACAGTGTCAGTCAGCCCATGATCACACAAAAGACAGGACTTGAAAAATTGCAATTAGAACCACCACTTCTGCATTGCCCTCCAGCTTGCCCGCGCTTGAAGTCTTCCCTCCTCTCCCGTTCTCCTCCCAATGCCCGAGCCAAACGCACGATGCGCACCATGTGCAGGGAGCGCACGGATTTGGTGACCTGGTGGGTGGCCACGGGTCTCCCAGTGGCCAAAACACACCCAGTTGAAGATGACGGGTGAAATCTGCGATTGAAGTGCGGAGGTGATTCACATTATTTCATTTTGAAGTTTGAAGGTCATATTTTCACGGAGCGCGTCGCAGGTCGTGCTGAACTTCAGCTATACTCGGAGGCGACCAATACGATGGACGCGGCAACGCGCAGAATGTAACTTGAAGAGCAAGGAGCAGTGGCGCCTGGTCGGGAGATGGGCAAGTTCTTCGCGGCGCACACTCTCCTCACCCACACCCCTCAGGCGGTGATGGCCCTCCCGGAGGAGGCCTAGCGTTCGTAACTAAATAGTTGCGTTGAATTTGTCAACAGGCTTGTGGAGATCACTATTTGCAATGCCAGCAGGCATGACTTCGCAGATTGGCTTCCACCGACCACGCTCTCAGCGCTGAAGCTTTGTCCACGCAATACCTGGCAGCTGTGAGTCTGCCCGATTGACGGAAGACTTATATGACCCTGCGGAACCCACGTCCCGGCCCCTATCAGTTGATTGTGACGGGACATCTCTGTCGCATGCGCCAGCGGTGCCCGGACTGGCGCGCCGCCTGCGTGAATCACAACAGCAGGGTGGAAGAGGCAGTCCCAGTAAAGAGTTCGTGCAATCCCTGGTAAAGGACTGAATTGCGCTCTTTTTGGAGAGGTGAAGTTTGCACCATCTGCTTCTCCTTTTCATCCTCCGGAAACTTAAAGCGACCGCCCTGTGTCGAACGTCTCTTCACGCAAAGAACCCATTTCCTTGGAACACCATCGCTTCAACTTCATTGAATGAAAATGCACTCGTTGGGCCTGATCTCCTTTCGATTGAATTGAGCCAGTGAATGTGACCTGGTGCCATGCACCTGGATGCTCCCAAACTTCTTGGAGTGGCTGCATTCGGCGAAGCCCTCTTTCCCAATCCCTCAAGAACCTCGTCCTTCCATGCCTCAAAATGGCTACACGGGAGGGCGGCTACTAGGATAGCAGTCCCAACGATTGGCAGGCAGTAGTACCCTGAGCATCCTCTATTGATTCTAATCAATTAAAACCTATTGTTTTTAATTGAAATTTTCAATAGCAAAATTTATTGAGTTTATCAATAGATTTGTGATAAGAAATATATTGATTTTTTAATTGATTTTGCTATTGATTCCTTTATTGATTTTTTCAGCCATTTTTCTATTTCAAACATCACTTTGAACCCTTGACAAAAGGGGTAAGCCCCTTGAGAAAAGGGTAATAATCCATTGAGAAAAGGGATCTAATCCCTTGAAAAAAAGGGATCTAATCCCTTGAGAAAAGGGATCTAATCCCTTGATAAAAGGGCTGCCTAACCCCTTGACAAAAGGGTGATGGGCAAGGGTGGTGCCAGACACACAAGCAAACCAGTGGTTGATGTTGACTTGCTGGTTACATGCCTTGCAGATCACAAGGATCTGTTGGCTGATTTGGGCCCTTATGAGCAGATCTCCAGGAACCAATGTTGTAACCCAAAGGCACTGCTGAAGGTGCTGCCCTTGATAAAAGGGCTGGTGACTTTGGAGTCAACAGCTGAGATACAGCCAGGGAATCTGAGGCAAGCTGTAATGCAGGTTTTGATGGAGCACCCAGCCCTCAACAAGAGTAAGTGGAATGGTGGCCTCTGTGTCAATATCAGAGTGGAAAGGGTGGGGGTGATCCTATACCACATGCGAAGACTGAAACAAGGAGAAGACCTGAGGATGTGCGCTGGCAAGCTAACATCTCTGGAGTTCATGCATTTGCAGGAAGTCATTGACCTCATGGAGAAGAAGGGCAATGAAATGCATACATTAAGGGAAATCAGTGAAGTGTCCTTGGACAGCCAAGGCCACCCTGCTTGCTTTGGAACACCACCAGCAGGAGAGAATGAACACCCCTTGCCAAAGGGTGCCAGGCAAATGAAGATTCCTTGCCAAAAGGAAGGGCCTTGGAAGACTCGGTGAGGATTCCTTCCCAAAAGGAAGCACCTTGGCAAAGGCACTGCCCCAGCCATCTTTCTTGAGAAGAAGGCAGGGGCAGCTGGCAACCACTCAAGAGCCAAAGGAGGATCAGGCAGAAGAGAAAGCAAAGCTGCAGAAAAGCTTGCGCTTTGTTGCAAAAATACCAGCTTGCAAACCAAGCAAACCCTTGGCAAGAGGGAAAAGCAAAGCAAAGCCCTTGCCAAGCAAACCCTTGGCAAAAGGGAAGAAGAAAGGGACAGCATCTTCTGGACCACCAGCCTACCCTAGGAAGAAATGGACAAAGTTGAGAATTGCAAAGACAAACAAAGAACCATGGAGGGCATACATCTGTGGGACTACAGCTGAAGATGGCAAGGGGAAGGTTTCATTGATTGTGTCCAAGAACCACACCAAATACTTGGAGATCTTGGAGCATATCCAGAAGAGGTTGGAAGAAGACCACATTACTAAGGATGAGGCATTGGAGCTGAGGCAGCGCCTGTATGACACTTGGTAGCTTGTTTGCACAAAAAAACACCGTGACAAAAGGTGAAGCATAGCAAGGTGCCCTTGACAAAAGGGGCCCACCCCTTGGCAAGAGGGTCAACTGTGCAAACCTTTGGCAAAAGGGTCAACTGTGCAGACCCTTGGTAAAAAGGCGCCAACCACTTAAAGGGGCCACCCCTTGGCAAAAGGGATCAAACTCTTGGCAAAAGGGGCCAACCCTTGGTAAAGGGATCAACATCAGGGCCAAAAGGAATGCACACAACTGGTGCAACAACACCTACAGGGACCTGCCACAGGCTGTGGAGGCAGTCCCCAAATACTTTGGCAAGGCCTGAGCTCCTTGAATCCTTGCCAAAAGGACAGGATGGTCCTGATGGCAACTCCTTGACAAAGGATGGTGCAACCCCTTGACAAAAGGAGGTATGGCCTGGCAACTCCTTGACAAAAGGAGTGCAAGCAAAACTCCTTGATAAAAGGAGTACAAGCAAAACTCCTTGATAAAAGGATTGCACAACTCCTTGAGAAAAGGAGTGTTTCACATTGCTTGGGCTGTTACCAATGCTGTGTAAAACCTAAGCTCCCCCCACAGCAAAGACTAGTTGTCAATTGCTTTGGTTGTTTACTATTTGGCAAAAGCACAAGCAAATGAACTCCATGACAAAAGGAGTGCAAGCAAACTCCTTGAGAAAAGGAGTGTCTCACCATGCTTGCAGGTGCTTTGCAAACACAAACAATAGCCTAAGAAAAATATATATGTTTTTTCATTTTTGTGGGCACAAGCAAGTGAATTCATTGATGAAAAACTTAAGAAACACATTAATTAAATATATTTTGTGTGTTCATTGGCAAAGGCACAGGCAAACCATTAATAATTACAAATACATTGAAACACAGAAAATCCCTGACCACCGGCTATTGATCCTAATCAATAATATTGAAAGTTTTTGATTTGATATTGATTTGAAATATTGATTTTTCAATCGCCACAAAAAACGTAAAACAATTACAACATATTGATGTTTGCAATTGATTTCCTAATTGTTTTTTTGGCTCAAGTGGGGTAGAGCTATGCGCAGACACCCCTTTTGACAAAAAGGGGATGTCACAAAAGGAAAAGGAAGAGAGAGAAGAAAAACAAAAAGGAAAAGGACTAGGAAAAGGACAAAAGGAAAAGGAAAAGGACAAGAAAAAGGAAGATGAAAAAAAACAGGAAAAGGAAACAAAAGCAAAAGGAAGAGGAAAAGGAAGAAGAAAAGGAAGAGGAAAAGGAACAGGAACAGAAAAAAAGGAACAGGAACAAGGAAAAGGAAGAAGAAAAGGACAAAAGAAAAGGAACAGGAAAAAGAAAAGGAAAAGGAAGACGAAGAGGACAAGGAAGACGAAGAGGAAAAGGAAGAGGAAAAGGACAAGGACAAGGAAAAGGAATGACTAAACCTGTGGACAAAAAAATTTTGTGAGGAGAGTTGAAGAAACAAAATCTAATGACTAAAACTGTGGACACATTTTTTTGGTGAGGAGAGTTGAGGAAACAAAATCTAATGACTAAAACTGTTGCATTTTTTGTTTCCTCACCTCTCCTCACCAAAATTTTTGTCCACAGTTTTAGTCATTAGATTTTGTTGCCTTACTTTCCTTCAGCCAAAAAAAATGCAATAGTTTTAGTCATTAGATTTTGTTTCCTCAACTCTCCTCACCAAAAAAATGTGTCCACAGTTTTAGTCATTAGATTTTGTTTCTTCAACTCTCCTCACAAAATTTTTTTGTCCACAGGTTTAGTCATTAGATTTTCTTTTTCCTGTTCCCCTTTCCTTGTGCTAATCCTTTTCCTTGTCCTCTTCCGTTTCCTTTTGTTCCTCTTCCTTGTCCTTTTCATCGTCCTTTTCTTTTTCCTCTCTCTCTTCATTTTCCCGTTCCTTTTCCTCTTCCTTGTTTCCTTTTCCTTGTGTTTTTTTCCTCTTCCTCTTCGTCCTTTTCCTCTTCCTTTTCCTTTTCATCGTTTTTTTAAAACCCTTTTCCTCTTCCTTGTCCTTTTCCTATGCCTCCCTTTCCTTTTCCTCTTCCTTTTCTGTTGCATTTTCCTTTTCTTTTGTTTTCCCCTTTTTCCTTTTTTTGCCCTTGTTCTTTTCCCTTTTCTCTTCCTTTTCCTTGTCCTCTTCCTTTTCTTTTCCTCTTCCTTTTCCATGGGTTTCAACTACCCTTTCAGCAAAGGGTTTTTCAGCAATTTTTTTCAAAATCATAGTTTTGATCAAATCGTTTTTTGTAAAAGATAAATAGTAGAAACAAGAAACAACACCACCAATCACAACTTCAAGAAAACAAAGAAATTGTTCCAAACAAACTTGTTGAAATCAACTTACTTGCAAATTCAATAGTATACCTAGTCATGGTAAGCCTCATACCCGACCAATCACAAGAGGTTGCAAAACCATTCAGTGACCCCTTGAGGTTAATGAAGGTGTTGAAACCCACACAGAAAAGTACATGTAGGTTTCACCTCACCCTTTCAGCAAGGGGTTGAACACACTACACTAAGTTACATATAGATTTCATTTGCCCTTTTCAACAAGGGTTGAAAACAATACACCGAATTAGACATAGGTTGCTTCGGCCCTTTCAACAAGGGGTTGAAAGCCTTCATCGTACATTTTGTGTTTGTGAGAATTTGGTTCAAGGTGTAGCTGTGGTCAGCCATGGCTCCAAAAAAGGTGATGAAGGTAGTGAAAAAAGGGAAACCAAAGGGCAAGTCCTTGACAAAAGGAAAAGGCATTCTCAAAAATCCCTTGACAAAAGGGAAAGGAAGTGGTGCACACACCCTGAAAAAGACAAATCTAAACAAACTGGGCAAGCTCACCTTAGCAGACAAAGTCCAGAAGGCAAGTGAAGGAGCTGCAAACCCAGAAGAAGCAGCCACAAACCTCAAAGGTTTGTGCAATACCCAAGAAGCAGCCTGATGACTTGGTCATGGGGCAGCATGCTTTCCAAGCAGAGCTGCCTCAATACACATCTCCTGATTTGTGCCATACCCAAGAGCTGCACACTGCCCAGCACATGGCCTGTGTTGGACGCTTGGGTTGCATGGTCTTTTGAGGCTTTGGCCAAGGGTTGGCGCCCCTGTGAAGACCTTTGGGGCAAGGGGAGTTGGCGTCCTTTGCTGGCAAGCCCTCGACTAAAGGGCACCACAGGGCAGCACTGTGGTCAATACAGGGTGATGCTGAATTTTACTCAAAAGTCCTCAAAGTTGGGCCTCCTGACAAGTCAGTCAAGATATTGAAAGCATCAGAGCAAGACTACAAATATGTGAGCCCAGCAGAGGCACTCCTTGCCAAAAGGAGCAATCATGCACTCTTTGGAATCCCTGGTGTTTCAACAGCTATGATCAGGGGTGATGCCCTGCACATATTGTACTGCAAGGGTGTTGGGTCGCACCTGGCAGGCAGCCTGCTACATTACATGGCCTTCTATGATTGGCCTAACAGGCAGAAAGTCTCAGCCTCCAAGAGGATCCAAGTGCTATTTGCCAAAGTGAGAGACATCTATTCTGAAAGAGGAATTTCCAACAGACTGACCAACCTCAGACTGTCGATGATCACAGACACTCAGTCTCGTTTCAAGGCCTTCCCAGTCTTGGAATGCAAGGCTGCAGAATGCAAATGGTTTCTGCCAGTGTTGGAGCAGGTTCTGGCAGATTGCCTGGATCTTAGAGTTGAAGTCCACCAAAGCATGATACAGTGCTGCAAAGCCTTCAACCAGTTGGTGGAGCACTTCGATGGCTGTGGTGCTTTTCTCAATGCTGCAGAGTTTGCAGCAGCACAGGAGCTTTCCACAAGCTTTCTCAACCACTACAGTAGGTTGAACTGCTGGGCAGCAGAAGAAGGAAGGAAGCTCTTTCACATCACCTTCAAGTTCCACTCCATGCTCCATTTGGTTCAGAACAGCAAATGGATGAACATCAGGCTGCATGCCAACTATAGAGCAGAATCCTTTGTGGGGCAGATCTCTGTCATTGGCCACAGTGTGAGCTTTGGAAACAAAGCCACAAGAGTTTGCACAAAACTCATGCAGATGTACTTGGTACAGGCCTGGCTTTGGCAATTAGCCAGAGGATGACTGTGACCCTTAGGTGTGAAAACCTTGTCAAAAGGTTGAACACCTTGGCAAAAGGTGTGGGCACCTTCATGTGAACACCTTGACAAAAGGTATGAACACCTTGGCAAAAGGTGTGGACACCTTGGCAAAAGGTGTGGACACCTTGGCAAAAGGTGTGTGGACACCTTGACAAAAGGTTTGTGGACACCTTGACAAAAGGTGTGAACACCTTGGCAAAAGGTGTGGGCACCTTGATAAAAGGTGTGAACACCTTGGCAAAAGGTTGGAACACCTTGGCAAAAGGTGTCAACCCCTTGGCAAAAGGGTGGAGCACTTTGACAAACAAAATACAAAGATCAGTTTCACTTGCATATCTTGAAGAGATTGCATGAAAAAGTACATAAATCATTGATGGTCTAATTGATTTTGTTATTGATTTTGTTATTGATATAATCAATAGAAAAACAAAAAATATTGATTTTCAATGTTTTTTCTATTGAAAATGTAGTCTTCCAAATCAATTAAAATAATTGATTTGGAAGACTACAAAATCAATTATTTTGAGCTTATTGATTAGAATCAATAACCGATGCTCAGGGTAGTATATAGTAGTCGCCGTCGTCGTCGTAATCGTAGCAGCAGTAGTCGTAGTAGTGGTAGCAGTAGTACAATTAGTAGAAGCAGTAGTAGTAGTAGTAGTAGTAGTAGTAGTAGTTGTAGCAGCAGTCGTAGTAAGTATAAGTAGAAGTAGAAGTAGTAGTAGTAGTAGTACTAGTAGTAGTAGTGGTAGTAGTAGTAGTAGGAGTAGTAGTAGCAGTAAACAACAGGTAGCAGTACTACAATACGGGGTTGCACGAAGGGCCCGCACCTACCACAATGTTAGTAGAACTTGTTTTTGCTAAACCTTTCATTTATTCAAAGGCCTTCGGAATCGGCCGGGAATTTGTTCCGTCAACCCCCTAACGTGCACTGATTCCGCTGGGGCATGGGGGTGATATGTTTGACTCTACTGAAGGCCTAAGAGGGATAGTTTGTTCTAAGGCTTCCAAGGGCACCCACCTTGCCAGGTCAACCACCCATGCTGCCATCAAAACATCCATGAGTCTTGAGGAAACCTCATTTTTTCAGGGTTCCGACTGCCACTTGTGGCTAGCTCTTTTGGGGAGTAATTCTGTACAACTGTACAACTATTCGCGAAGAAGCGGGCATACACATATATATATATATATGTTTATATAAATATACACATATAATTCCACATATATATATATATAGAGGTCATAGAAGTGCATATTACAGCAAACCTGTAACTCAATGCATGTTCTTTTCCGGCAATGTAAGTGCAAACGATGAAGCCGAGCGACCCAGCGCCAGGCACGCGTGTGCTCATTTGAGACCGCCTTTCAGGTGTGGGAAGCTGCCCAGACGGGCAACCATCCGGCCTCCAATCGAATGCAACGAAGTTGAACCAGTTTCTCCAAAATTGCAGAAAGGGAGACTTAAAAGTGGTAGGTGGTGACAGTGAGGCCTGGTCAAAAGTTGTCGCTATCAACTGGCTCCCACCCTTCAAGTCGCCCATCGGTGAACTCCGGTCGTACCTTCGGCTTGCGTGTCTCCTTCATCGTCACAGACGAGGATAAGCCTTAAGATGTCCTTCCTAAGGCTTCATGCCCGGTCATTCCATCCACTTCCATTTGAGTGAGTTTGCGTGTGCTCCATGTGAGTAGCAGATTTTGGTTGGTTTATGCATCTATCAAGGAGCTACAAAAGCGGAACTGCTCCAACGATGCGTAGTGTAAGCTGTTTTGCTTTGGGGGCGGAACGTTCCACCTTGTGGGCCCTTGCGGTATACAGTGGTTTCTGATGGTTTCTGAGTAGATTGCACTACCCCCAGAAGGTTAGATGGGGGTCCATATGAACTGAACCACCTCTCGGGGATGGTGCCATCTACTCTGAATCATACCTCAGGCGTATGCAGGATGTCTCCAGCGGTTGCATTTGTGCGAAAGACCGCCCAGGCTTCGGCAGCTGGAAAGCGTAAGCGTCAAAAGCGCCAAATAATTCAGTGCAAGTGTAAAATTATGGCAGATGGCCTGGTAGGGTGATGAAAATCATCCTCCGCTTTATTGACTTGGTGTTTTTTGGTGTGCTTCTTTTTGTTGGATGATGTTTGCCAGTGCAAGACGTGGATTTGTGTTGAGAACGTTGCTGGTTCTTGTTGGGTGTGAATTGCAGTGATTCCGGGTCTTTGTGCTCTTGGTTAGAGGCTGCACCATCAGTCTCAAAATGATTGTAGAAATGGAAAACGCAAAAAACACATGGCTGCCGTGGGCTCGAGGTTGGGCAGGCAAGTGTTTACCAATCTTCTAGTCCACCAGATTCTGGGCCCAGCTGTTGCACATCAGAACCGGGCCGGGTGCGTTCTGCAGAACGACTGCTTCAGGTCGATACACGGGATCTCCAGTTGAGGGGGGGGGTCGACGCACCGCATGGGAGATGACAATGGTTGGTTGGTTGATTTGGGCCAAAGGATGTGGAGAAGGGCCGGTTTGGGGTTGTGTCGCATGACCGTTGACTGTCGGTAAAGGATCATCATGACTTTTGAGAGAGCTCGATTTGCAATTCAACCATCATCATCCACTGGGCCCTTATACCTAAGGCTCTTTAAGCTTTGGTGGATTTGAGAAGTAGGGACATAGCACAGCAAACAGTTTCTCCACCCCAAACCACTCTAGACGGCTCCAATTAAAGAGGGGAAAGACTGAACGAATCCGACCTCCTGGCCACAGCTTTGTCAAAAGAGTGACATGAACCGAAGCAGCAAGATGACATTCCGAACTGACCTGGCCAAGCGAAATCGCGCCATAGTTTCCAAAACGTGTTCTATCAAACGAGCGGAGAAAACATGAGAAAACCATCGCTTGGTGACCCCTGGTCGGCGGAGTCACCTCTTTTCGTTTGCTGGACGTTTTGCAAACAGACCGCAGGATGTTAAACATCTATTTCTATATGTTCTTTTTGAATGCCTAAGCCCTAAGCCCCCGGGCCTTTGGAAGCCTCAGAAAAGCTAAGACCGAAAGGCCACAAGAGCCGTCGCGGAATCGCACGCGTCACGTGCATGGATGGAGGGCCAGTTGCAGGTGGGGACGAGCAGCTTGGGGCGCCTGAACGGGCCTCCCACGGATGAGTCGGTCCAAGTCCTTCAATGGCTGGCTGTGGGCTGTGGTTTCCGGTCATGGCACCCCAGCTACGCAGTTCATTTGTACCCCCAAGTTAATGTAGACTCTTGATTCATAAGCCCCCCCTGTGAAGAGGTTTTTCAATCCCTTCCACCTTCACCCGTCATAGCACGACAAGGGGTTGTGTGGCTGCGACTCGTCCGCAAGTGTGTGCATCCAAATGGGGTGGGTTGATCAAGAGTCCGCAAAAAACCTTGTGTCCTTGGAGTCCGCACCATCGCCACCCAGTCGAAATAAAGAGTGTTGAAACAGGACAGCTCGTTTGTACTCCCGAGCTGTTGGTGAATCTCCATGTGGGTTCCCCATGAAGCTCCATGGCGCAGCATGGCGCAGCTCCGCAGCGAGCGATTGTCAGGTGAAGATCGAGCGTTTAAGCGGAGAGCGCTTAGAGTTTCAGCTCCCGGCCACCGCCAAGATCAGTGACCTGCTGCTCAGACTTGAAGAAAAGAACCCAGCATTCTGAAGATATAGGTGCATGTTCTGTATTTTTATGTATATATATATATATGTTTGTCGGTTTTTACGTTTTAATAGTTACCACATATACGCCATCCCAGTGGTAAAGCACGGAGGATGCGTGATGCGTGGAGATGCTGTCTCCTTTCAAAGACCACGTAGACCTTAGCAGCAATATGCAGCAATTATACCATTAGCACCCACAGAGGGCCTAGAAGGACTGTAAACAGTTTTGGGTATTAAGAGGTGTGTTGCGTAATTCTTTTCGATGTCGTCACAATATATCAAAGGTGCCAGCAGGGGAGCCACCTGGCCTGCAATCGAACCAGAAAGATGAGGGGGCAGGTTCTGAACGATTCCAATCTCCTCGTGGGCGCCCCAAAACCTGGTTTGGCAGGTGGGTGATGTTTTATTTTCATGAAATCCCCTCCTGGGGATTGGTGTCCCGGTTCCTCCAGAGCATGAGGTTCCCACCCCAGCTTGGAACCTCAGCGGATCCGACCGTGGCATATCCTCGGATCAATTCCCATGTTGCTCCATGATCACCCTGGACATGGGTCAAGACACAGGGCAAAATCACTTTCGGCGCGACAAAGGACGATGACAGGCCCAGACCACCTGCAGCTGAAAGACCATCAAGATATGTTGGTGTTCCTCAGAAAGCCAAGTTGCCAAGCTCAGCCACCACGGCATGGCAGCATTCTTCTTCCGGTGGTAGCCTCTCAGGAAGCTGCTGTTGCAAGAAACCTGTGGCGCTCCATACTTTTGCCGCTCAGCTGGGACTAGCTGAGGGGAAGAACAACATATATAATCTATATAATATTGTACTATTAACTGTAACAGTCAGTAAACAATTATATTTTTTTACGAAGCCTGTAGTAAGCATCATCATCCACTGTTACTGGTGATGGGCTAGACCCAATTTATACCCTGACAGCATTCATCGATCGGGTCTACTATGTTCGTTCGGGTTGGAATAGGAGATGGCCTCCAGAGCCGCAGAAACCAGACTCATCCACTTGAAGTGACTTGACTTTTATCAAAACTGATTGAATCCTAAACGTACGTGGCATTCCTCATCCAAAGATCCAAAGCACTTTTTGTTTGCAAGACACTGAGGGACCTGAGGGGTGCTTGAAAACCAGCTAAGCCGAACGGCAGAATGTCATGGAATCCAACCTGATTGGTGGAAGTCGGTGGAAGTCAATTGTTTGCTTTCACAGTGGTCTACCACAAAGATTTGGCGCCATTGCGGAGTTTCAACGGCCTTCATACTCTAGATGGTCCAAGTGGGCGGTTGAAAGATTTCGCCTTGGGTTGAAAGAACACTTGCTGGCCATGGTTCAAGAAGACTTTCTTTGGGCTTTTCTTGGACTTTGTTACTAGGTAAGTTGTTCAATTTACACAAAAAAATAAAGTGATTCAGGACTCACCACCCAGGACATCATTCCATGTAGCTGGAATTGCCGAAGAGTCTCTACTTGCACGTCGATGGCGAGTGTTTTTTTTCCCCCTGACGAGGGCACGAACTTGGGCAATTATATAAGCAAACTGATATCGATGATTAATAATCTTATATTTCTTAGAATCTCCAGAATGTCCGAGGCTGCAACTCAACTGCTTGTTGTTTTTTGCGGTTTTGTTGCTGCACATTGCTCGGATGTTCTTACTTGATCAGCAACAAGAACCTCTCTTTGTTCATCACCACTCACCATGCACATCTCGCAACTTCAGCACCTCAACCCCCATCGTCCAGGAGGACCAGCCTCGTTTCCCGAGCATCCCTTCGTCGCGGACCCGAGGTCAAAAGCTCATGTGGCGTCACTCCTTGCTGAAGAATGCAGAGCCTTGGCTTCGGAACAGTGGATGGAGGAAAGGACGAGGAAACACGGAACGGGTTTGTGAGGTTGGAAGACTGATGTATATATACATGAAATATCATGGACATGTGGTGTGAGTGATGGAAGTAGTGATGTATTTTAGATGCATTTGGTCTCATGTGGTGACGATATACGATACCCGATGCATTTTTCTCAAAGGCATCCAGGTTCAACCGTGGCTGATGGTACGGAGAACCTTGCTCCGCTTTTGGTTAAGGTGCCCCATTCGCACCATTCGCACCATGCACCGCCAATTCCGCTGAGAAAGGGAGGAGGTACAACCGCCCTTGGTGGTGATGAGGCAGCGGAATCCATCCTGGTCTGCGGTGTCCATGAGTCGTTCTGCCAGACTTCAGCGTTTGAAAGTACTTCAATGACCAATGACCAAGACTCTGTTTCAGTAGGGAGAGCCCAACCCCATGGCTAATGGGACTGGAATATGTTACAGCTATGGCTTTGTCCTATTATTTGTAGAGTCGTCAGTAAACAATTGTCACTATTTTTGAACAGGCCTTTACTATAATAGTTATCATCCACGGCTTTTTTGGCATTAGGATAGGCCCCACATATAATGATTACCATTATTACCGACCTTGACCCCTCAAACCACCCCGTATAGATAAATATGCCATACATGAAGTGTTGTGAACAGCATCAGAAGGGTGACAGTGACAGAAATCCATCGAAATTCAAAGTTCCGAACCCCCATGGCATCCAAGTCCTAGCCTTCCAAAGGACTGTTTGTTAAAGAACCCCCTTCGGTGAGTGGAGAAAGGGCAATTTCGAAATTGATTCTGCAGCCATCTTCATTCCTCTTTGGGTGGACACGTCACGCCTCAACCCAAAAACCGCGTGTTTGAGAACGCGGAACTGCGCGTTGGATGCCGCTGAGGACACTTTAGCAAGCCTCACTCCACCCCTTTGCCCGGTCCCCGACCGAAGGGTTGAAGGACACGCGCGATGCGCCGCGCGTTCAGCCCAGCCACAGCGTCCGTTCTTCCGTGCGAACCGAGAGTGAAGCGAGGTTGATTGAATAAGATGTTTGCTTGAAAAAGCCATGCATGTATGTGATGTGTGACATTATGTGACATGTCCCTCTTGGATGTCCATGTTGTTGGTGTAGCTTGATGGTATGCGGACAGGTATGCATGTCCAAGATTGTTTAAGTGTATTGTTGTGGTAGGCCAAGCTATTGGTGAGGACCTGGGCAGAAGAGGTTGACCATGGGTTGTCAATCCATTGTGCAACACAACATGGAGAGACTCAGACGTCTCCTCCGGACATGCAGCCCAATGCATCAAAACCATTCAAAACCATATTAAACCACTTTGGCCCTTGGAGATCTTCAAGTACTATAAGTGGTGTAGTGATGCGTATAGCGTAGTTCAGCCACGGACCATTACCGGTGACCCATTGCCGCGGAAGATCTTGGAGGTGAGTTTCCTCTACACTCTACTCTTCCAGACGTCCGCACAAAAAAGCACCTTCCCCCCCCGCCCCCGCCAAATCGACCTCTTCCCTTCCCTCCGTCCCTGGCCCTTCGCGTCTGCTCAAGAGATCCGGTCCTCCCGCCGAGCTCGCTCGGTCGGCGTCGGCGTCGTTCGACCAGCGCTGAGGCTTGAGCCTGATCCAAGACGCCTTTCACCCGGAGGCCGCCAAGGCACTGCGCGACGCCGCCCGGCAGGGCGACCTGCCGGGCGCGGAGCGGGCGCTGCATGTGCCGGCGGATCCGAACCAGGCAGCTGGGAAGGGAAGAATTGGAAGGAGCTAGCTGAGAGGGTAGGAGGATGAGTGGTGAGTAGGATGAGTGTAGGATGAGTAGGTGGGCATGAAGAGTTCAGAGGTGAGGTAAAGTTCTTCTAACCCGAAGAATCCCGGCCTGAAATGCTGGGAAGGGTCGCATGCGGGTCCGGACCCCTGCACCTTCATGTCGGGGTCACCTGGCTGGAAGCCCCTACACTACTAAGGGACCTCCATTGGACACCCCTTGGAGGGTCCCGCCGAGGTGGATGATCATGGTTGGACTCCGTTGATCAGTGCTGCACAAGCTGGGCAAGCTGAGGCACTGTGGATGGGCTTGCGACATCAATGCTGACTTAAACGATGAATCAACCCTCCCGAATGGAGATGCAAAACCATTCTGGTGGGGGGATGTTTTTTGTTCAACACGATGGATGCGCTACTCGTACATCGCAAGGGGTATAGTATAGCCGTCTATGCAACTTAAACCATGCGTCGATGGATCCGACTTCAAAGGCACAGCCAACCACCGAAATCTGATCTTTGGGGGTGTCACCGAAATCTGAGCCCCCGGCAACTGTAACAGTTGGTAAACCATGGTCAACCATGTTCACTACTATATTTTAGAGATGTTTGCCCTTACTAACCATCATCATCTAATTACTGTTTCAGGGAATAGATGGGAATAAGACCCACAAGATCCACAAGAGAGCTTGAGGAACCCTATAGACTATCTCATGTTATAGGTCCAAGCCCTACGTGCCTCCCGTGCCTCTCGCCCACTTTCAGAGAGCCTCCACCGAAGTCGCTGTTCCGGACAGGTGCTCCGGTTGCTGGTCCGCGCCGCTGCCCAGCTGGAGCGTGCTACGGTGCACGGGCGCACGCCGCTCTTCGTGGCCTGCCAACGAGGGAGACTTGGAGATACAGTAGAGGTTTTTATGTTCGATCAGGGTGGAGTCCCAATTCAGAAAAGCGTAGAAAAGTTCTAGTATTCTATTTCAGTTTGGACCTGGCTTTGATCAATAGAGGTTTCGATCTTCATTTGATTGGTTTAGTCCCTGGGACTGCTGTATCACTATGGCTGGGTCAATGCTGTGTTTTTTAAGGCGAGAGTTCGCACAGGTTACCACCCTAAGAATCCTTGGGCCAGGAGGATGAGTGACCAGTGGTGAGTAGGATGAGTAGCTTGGAGAGACAAGAGGTGATGTAAAGCTGTTTTATCCGAGGTTGGGTCCGACCCCTGCCATGGAGGGTCCAAGGATTCTTGTTTGAGGGCTCCAACTAGCTCCGCTCCTGTTCGGTGGTTGCTGGGGGGGTCCCCTGTAAGAGGGAAGATTATACGCTATGCGCCGAGTAGTTTGGCTTAAGATATGTTCAGCCAGCATAGTGCAAATAAATAATATGTAACAGGTACTATATCAAAATATATAGCATAAATGCAGCTGTCCTCCAAGATCTCCAGATTTCCAGATGATTTAAAAGTTTGAAATAATGAACAGTTGTTTAAGCAAAACTATATGGGCTGGGTGTTTTTTTTTATGCTAATGGTTTTTTTTTCTTATGCTCACAGCGGGGTTGGTGTGCTTTTGGGGTATGGGTTTCTTTTTTATGCTTATAGTATCTTATAGTGCTTTTTTATGCTAATGGTTTTTTCTGTTATGCTTGCAGTTCTTTCTTTTATGCTCCTGGTTTCTTTCTTTATGCTAATGGTTTCTTTATTTATGCTAAGGGTTATTTTTTTATGCGGCACTGTGGGAAGAGGTCGCGTTGGGGGGTCCTAGTGCAGAATGTAATTGTCAGGAGGGTTTAGTGCAGAATGTAATTGTCGGGAGGCTTTAGTACAGAAAGTAATTTTCGAGAGGTTTTAGTACAGCAAGTAATTGTCGGGAGGTTTGAGTACAGAAAGTAATTGTCGGGAGGTTTTAGTACAGAACGTAATTGTCGGGGGGCTTTAGTACCGAATGTAATGGTCAGGGAGTCGGGGGCCTTTAGTATCGAATGTAAGCGTCGGGGTGTTACCGAATGTAATCGTCGGGGAGTTCTAGTAATCATTTGGCTCCAGACTTTTTCTGCCCAATATTGCACTGCGTGGCATAAAAAAAAGGTCTGCTCGTCGTTGCTCGCGCACTTACATCGTGAGAGGGTCTTCCAAGTTGACTGACCCTTTGGTGAGCCACCCGAGGGTAAAATTTAGAGAAGGATGTTGCCATTTCAACTTGACTCACCCTTTTGTGGGCAAGGCAGGGGTAAAATTTAGAGAAGGAAGTGGTCATTCCAAGTTGACTCACCCGTTGGTGAGCCACCCGAGGGTAAAATTTAGAGAAGGATGTTGCCATTTCAACTTGACTCACCCTTTTGTGGGCAGGGGTAAAATTTAGAGAAGGATGTTGCCATTTCAACTTGACTCACCCTTTTGTTGGCAGGGGCAAAAATTTAGAGAAGGATGTTGCTCTTTGGTGAGCAAGGCAGGGGTAAAATTTAGAGAAGGATGTTGCCATTTCAACTTGACTCACCCT